TCATAAAGATCCAAAACATCACTAGCAAACATACTAGGTGTGACGTACCTGTTGAAACTGCGCGATAGTGCCCTCACTACTGCGACGAATTGTGCCCGTGAATTTGACACGCCGTGCTCGTGGACGTCAGCTTCTGTGTAGCAGAACCAGACCTCGCTGTTGTCGGGTCGAAATGGCGTTAGCTGACATGAAAGAGGGGAAAGTCTTAGTCTTAAATAATTTAGGAGTCTTTTCGATCATGATGAATATGAAGTGTAACAATGAACGAATAAAAAACATCCGAAAATACAAAAAGTATCGCAGTATATAAAAATTAATATATAAATTTTCAAAAAGGAACAGACCCACAGTTTACGAATTGGTGTACCATATCACGTCGGTCTTACCACCAAAGATGTTACAAGTATTTGCAGTTTGACAACGCCTTATCCAGTAACACCTTTCTTAATCGAAGTAGGCCAACCCAGTAAAATCAGAAATGAAGAGGCTCGAAGATGTATTTGATAGGCTATAGATGTGTCGAGAAGTGACTAATCTAAGCTGGCTGGTGGTTCTGAGATAAGTGGAGCACGGCGTACCCACTCGTGACCTTGTTCGGATACATGGCCGAGCGCCTTGGCCAGATGAGTCTATTGAAATCAATGTGGTCAGCATCAAATGTCGAGGATTTACAGAGCTATTGACTTTGGGGATTTTTTTACCGTTACTAGCTTATTTGATATGCTTCAACTTTTAGTAATCTGTTAAACTTGAAAGTATGACTCAATTTATGATCAGTTCAACTATGTGTTATTCCTAGAACTAAAAATATTGTGTGCATTATTATTAGTGTTCTTCTTAATGGCTATCTGGTAGATTTTGTAGCCTTATTGTTTATATGTCTACTTTTCGAAACGTCAGTTGTACATACCAATATTAGGTAATCAAACTATTTCTTTTCCGTCAAGGAGGAAATGTATTGTGCTGCATGTAACACATGATTTCATAATACTTATCTACTTAATAGTTGGAGGCTGGCTCACATCACACCAATTTTCAAAGGAGGTCGACGCAATGAAACTTCAAGTTACCGACCGGTGGCTCTTCTCTTCATACCTTCAAAACTCATGTAGGCCCTGATATGCGATGGTATAAATGACTATTTACTGTCCTTACATTTCTTCTCACCCCAACAGCATGGTTTCAGGAAGGGTTACTCTTGTATTACCAACCTGATGACTGCGGTGGACAGATGGACAAGCATCCTTGATCACAAGGGGAAGGTTGATATCATATACCTAGATTTCTCAAAAGCTTTTGATAAGGTTAACCATACATGTCTTATCAATAAGCTCAAACGAGTGGGTATCTGACCACCTCTAATCGATTGGCTCACTTCATATATGAAAAATCGACATTTTAAGGTCAGGGTTAATTTCACTTTATCTCAGGCTATGGAATGTCCTAGTGGGGTCCCCTTGGGCTCAGTACTAGGACCTCTTCTCTTCTTGATCTACATAAGTGATCTTCCTCAACAGGTGACGTCAGACTTATTACTTTTTGCCGACGTCGTGAAAATTTGGAGAGAGATACGCAACCAAGACGATCTACAGGCACTTCAGGAGGATCTGACTGGGATTCAAAGTTGGGCAGACGATAATGGACTTACCTTTAACACTTCAAAGTGTAAAGTAGTCCATCTGCGACATGTTGCAGACTACAGTTATAACTTAAGAAACTCCTCTTTAGTAATATCCCGAGTCGAAAAAGATCTAGGAGTCCTGGCGCCCTACGATTCAAAGTCTTACGCTAACTGTGACAAAAATGCCTTCCGAGCAGACCTTGCACTGGTAACATTGAAGCGCATTTTTGGCCAGTTTGACGGAAGAACTTTCCATATAACCTTACGAAGAGCGCCTCCATTCACATGAATTTTACCCATTAGAATATAGATGTCATGGAATGGAGACACACAGTCGTTTATTTGAAAATTAAAATTCGCGGGTTCTGTACAAAAAAGAGAGCTAGTTTACAAAGCGGTCTTATGAATCGTCGGCAGCGCTCCAGGGGTATCGCGACACTTTTTCATTTCTGTTTTGTGCACAACCAAAATTTGAAATTAATTATGAATAAATTTGAAAGTCTATTTTCCGTTTTCATAATTAGGTGAAAAGGGGTTTTTCCGTTTTGCGTTACATGGTATCGCGAAGTCCTTGAAAATTCATTATTCAGGTGCTGCTATAATAGTTTTTTCGTGTTTGCATCGCAGACTAGCAATTATTTCTACTCAGGTATACATTGATGGTAAACAAATCTTTTATTTTTATATGAAATAGCATGATTCAGGCATATATCGTCATAAAAATTGTATATTCGTCAAGGCTACCAAAACTGCGTTACAACTAACGATACCATGGTAAGATTTATCGTTTTTCCCGTCTTTATCACAATTTCGGCTGATATTCACTGTTTTTTCGACTTTCATGGCAGAAACAGGTTGATAGTGAAAACATTAGATGCATCGAGTGTTGTATATGCTATAGATGATAATAACACATACCAAGATGTTAATATCACCTTCTACAGTTAGATATATTAGGCGTAGGTTGAACGTAACCAAATAAATCCATAAAATCCCCAAGAAGCCAAATATCAGAAGACAGTTAAGGGACCAAATCGAGATATATTCGCTGGCGATCTCGTGGCATCGAAAGGATACCGAGATCGTGCCAGGATACAAGCTTGGTTACAGAACATAACCGAATTCGCGCGAAGTCACAATCAAAGGGTAAGAATAAGAATGGAAGCACAATATAGCTGTCATTAGCACAGTCAAACAAAAGCACATTAAAACAAGCACTGGCACAGTTGGTTATAATACTAATTGTTTTTATTAACCCAGTCATGTTCTCGTGATAAATGTGAGTCACTACAGACCTTTGGGGTTATGTCAATGGATGGAAAATAGAGAGTTCTGTGTGTATTTAGGCGAAAAGTAGACAATTGAGCGGACATTTAGGCGAAAAGTGAGTAATTTATCGAAAAAACGGCGAAAAAGGTGGAAATCCGCATTATTTCCTTCGGACAGGTGAAAAAGGCGACATTCTGATGCGTTTTCCCCTTTCGCTACCAAAGCATTTACCCCTTTATTTCCCCTTTTTGGGTTGTCTGGGGAGCTACAATGTTTTGCCTGCCGGTATTATTGCAAAAATACCTAATAGCAGAAATAAGTACTGATATAAAGCTGTCACGAGAAAGCACTGAAAAGTACGACTCGATAGTCAAGATATCTTGATCTAAGGTGACCAGATTGTGTGAGATCCTATATGATGATCTTCGGAAATCAACCAAGGCCTGTCTAGCTTACGTGCTGATGCCGTAAATGACAATTACTCATAACTTACGTGGGACTAGAATAGAATATGCATCAAGAATTGCAGGTTACACAGGACGATTCAAAATAAATTCACACAGCAGTCTTTATATATTTTCGTCGTCGAAGTTTCCGAAGTGCAACCTTTCCAAAGAATTAAATAATACAATCCGTGTATGTTGTTACCCAGACTTTCCTAAGCAACGCAAGAGATAAAGGAAATAAGCGTGATTGACTATCCAAAGGAAGGGTGTGCTAAATGCACTTTCGATCTGTAATTGAATACTGGTTTCCGTTTTTATACTAGTTTCTGGTAAACATTTATACTGAAATAACTTTCCTGTCTATCTTATTTCCAGCTAGCTTCGCAAGCGTTCACAGACCTAACGGGAACAATTCCTGAGAAATAGAAGTTATTTATTAATGGATCATTTGTGCTAGATTCAAACTTTAATAAACGTTTTCATTTATAACGCACTAGTCTTTTAATTACGTCGATTCGTATCTATCGTGACAGGTCGAAATTCGAACTACTAATATGGTACACTATGTTCAAGGTTGCAGTATTTGGTAAACGGTATGTATGTCTAATCGCGTGTGCACCAAACTGGTAATTATTACACAAGAACGCGAACCAACACCCCTGTCTCACAGCCATATAAGACTGCACAGTACACTCCCTGCCGTTACGCTATAAGAATAAGTCAATGGCCATATAAATGAATTTATGTAAAACTAAAAAGATTACAATATTAGAACTTGTTGTTATCAAGAAGCATAGCTATGGTCTGTATTAACAATGGATTCTGACGTTGTAGCTTCATCATTAGCACCGATTGAACTCATCACTTGTGCGTATATGTCTTCCTATGCTTCGAGGCACGAACGGTTGAGTTTACTTGCCAAAGGTTCACTAAGAGCATGAATTGAGTGGTAGTTGCTAGTGAACTTCTTTAGCAAATGATCACTTCCTGTAGAGATTGAGATGTTGTCCAGCGCACGAAGAACCAGGTTCATTATGTATTTTCTTGTACACTTGTTGCTATGTCGAAATAAGTCTACAAAACTTGTAGAGATAAAGGAACACACATACCTCCATGAAACAGATCTTTAGAATGTGCATACAAAATATGACCACAGGGCAGTATGTAGTCATTGAAACGCAATATTTCGACCTGAAGGATAAATTCATTTGAAGTAAGGCATACGTAGATGACCGACGTCGTCTCCTTTGCCTAGGTTGTGTTGGCGAGTTAGAAGTTGTATGCTCTTCAGAAGAATGATTATTACTATCATCATCTACATCCTGAACGCAAGCATCTGACTCTGACGAACTGCGTTTACGTACATATGTACAGACATAACTCACGAAAAAGTACTTTAGAGTTGGATCATCACTGTTCTCTTTGCATGCTGACATAAAGTACTTAGTATGCGTATACTAGAAAAATTATTATTAACCACAGAAGTCATATTACCTTTATCATGCATCATCACGATGGTATCGTCTTCGTTACTTGAAGAATGAACGTTACTAGACGTGGTGTGGCTGAACTCAATTCAAATCTAAAAATGTCTTGATTTGACCGCTTCTGAAAATTTTCACGAATTGTCGATGTGACGCACCAATCATTTTGCGACAGTTTGACCTCGAAGTGCTCGCGACCCCCATCAGTGGACGATACCCTAGGAGCGTTGCCTGAATCGTTCTGTAAGTTTAGTGCACGCAGGGCTTGCTCTTCTTCTTCTAAAGCATTTATTCTTGCTTGCCCTGCAATAGAAAGAAAACAAAATCTATTAACAACATCATACATGATGATTTTAATCCCGTTACAAGGTAACTCCAGGGTCACGAAATATACATATTGATGATGAGTTAGATAATTTCACCAAGGAATTGTTGCACATTGACTTTATTATGATTGGTTTCACTGAGGAAACATGTTAACCCTTAATAAAAACAGTGGATTGTCCGGACTTCTGTTTTTGGCTTTGTTGTTAACATATAAGGCTGTAGATATTATTTCGAATTAAGATAAATGGTTTAATACATAGAGTTTAAGTTAAGGCTTATGACTATGCGTCAAATGACATATAGGTTAACTAGAGATCCTAAACCATAATCTTAACTGTAACCCTGAATTCTATAAAGAGACTATAATTTATGGACGAACCAATAAGATATAAGGTGACATGTCTTGGATCGTGGTGGGACGTTCATTCATCCATTTGATTAAACAGCGCTTTAGGATTTTAGCTGATGTCAGTTCGTGATGAAAATTTTGAATCTAATTCATAACCCTAACCATCAACTGTAAATCATAATCCTTATTCTTCACACAGGTTTATAGCTCCCATTTACCCTAACAAGTAAATGGACACCCTCAAGTCTGCTTTAATGTCACTCAAAGGTCATCCATAAGTTATAGTTTCACCGAATTTTGGTTACATCATTTATGCATACATAAGTCCTAATTCTTAGTTCCGATCTCTATCCATATATTAAGTTCTATAACGGAGATGCTAAGCTATTCATTTATACTTACTGCCTTCTGAATAGCTTGATAAAATCCGATAAGGTAGTTTAAAGACTCACAAGTCCACTGTGATACTGCATATAACCAGTGCTTGTAGCTGTTTGTTTTTCTATTCGTGTAAAACATTACTGATCCAGGAGGCTCTGGTTAGAAATTCTAGTGTAGATAACAAAGATTATTTTATTGTCATTAGTAAAACTACGATAAGCGCTACAAAACTGAGAGCCTTCGATAAAGAACGAACTCTTAAATAACAGCAAGCTAATCTTATGTGAAGGTTATATCTCGAGTCATTTCGACAGAGAATCGAAATATATTAGTGACTTAAAGGGTCATATCATGAAAGGTCCAGTTGGTGGTGAATATAAATCATTGAAGAGGCAAAGAAGGAAAGGTCAAACTGTTCCTGATACTATTGCGTGGAGCTTGGAGGGGTCGAGTGACTCGGATCCTGAATCCAGACTTTCATATGCTTCATATTAAGTTGAGCTGTTTGTCTGTCTCATATTCCCGACTTATTCATCAGGTACTCATGTCAAGAACTAATAAGTTTAAGCAAGAGAGCCTATGGTGGTACTGATCCCCTCCACGTATACTTATTAAGGTTCCTAGGGTTTGAGTAACAAAGTTTCAAGTTAACTTGTTCTCAGGAGAAAGATAATAGCAATACGCCGGTATAACTGGAAGATAGAATCAAGAGGAAAACGGGTCTGTCAGAACGAGTAGTCTGAAGACTGTTTAGTGTGACTACAAACTACCACTTGCTACTTATTGAAATAAACAAGACTGGTATAGTAACAAGAAAGAAAATAAGACTACAGAAGGATGCTTTATTCAGCAGTTACTAATTAATACATTCACAATGAGAGTTACATATCATTTTAAATGTTCGGTCAGCGAATAAATTTGGACGAAAGTAACTAAAGTTAGTCAATAATCTAACATGTAGTATGATTTTCATAGTAAATAAATAAATTGACTTGACTGAAAAATATGACTCACTCCTAGTTTGTATGTTTGTTTTATTCCTAACAATAACTACCACTAGGTTAACTTTACTATTATTTTGGTAAAATGAAAAATATTATTTGGGCTGGTGTTCTACGTCATGAGGAAGGAATGGTTTTCTGTCTAAAGGACGACAGGCTTTTAGATCATGTCTTTCATGTTATTTGTTTATTATATTTGAACACATCTTTCATGTTTGGCTAATCTGATTCCGTAATTAGATTCGGCTTTAGCAAAAGGTGAAAGTATTCCGGTAGATGTAATTTTTGTGAACCTCAGTAAAGACTTTGATTAGATCTCTCATTTGGGTCTTTGAGCAGAGTGGGAAGGCTTCGTAATGGATTATACATCAAGATCAGACTGATGAACTTCTTAGTAATAGGAGGCAACGTGTGAGAGTAAACGGCACCTTGTTATTGCAAGAATATGTGAAGGCTGGAGACTGGTGTTTGTTAGCAGTAAATTCTAGCATGCTCATGGTATGGTAAATAGATCGTTGTGACGAATTATGCAAGTAGATAATAGATGAAGTGCTTTCAACTAACATCAATAATACTATTTTAAAAGCCACAGCAATTAATGAGCACAGAATCATGGGTAACTAAGATGGGCGCTGCCAAAAGTTTCCTTATTTTGTAGGTAATCCGTAAAGCCTGTCATAACTTGGAGGAAAATACATCTAGGATATTCTGCCCGACGTATGTGAGACCTCGTTTAAAATACCGAGTTCAGTAAACGAATCGTTGTTCCAAATATGAAACGGATATTCTGCGACAGGTTCAACGACGAGGAACCAAAATTGCAGTCTTTCTGACTTGTCTTATCAACAGGCTGGGACGCTTCAACCCATTTCTGTTATCCGACAGTAGATCGTGGGGTGACGTATTACAATGTACTAAACATTGGTTTTTGTACTAATATGTTTTATCTTTCTTTTCAGGTAGTCTGAAAGGATATTCTCAGATAGTTCCAAACCAAGATCAAACCGTTTAAATCTGGAGTTGTTAATTACTGGAATTCTCTGACGGAAAACGTAGTATCAGAACTTGTTGATACATTCGAAGAGATATTGTATCTTCACATTACTATAAATCTCAATGGTTAACATGGGCCACTTGACCTCTAACCCTTACTCCTGAAGACTGACTGCATCCTATATACGGGCTTACTGAGTTTTTGGCTCACATCTCTTGTTCCTTATCCTTCCAAATTTCCACCATTCTCTGCACGTTTTCCAGTACTCATAGTACCTCCAGGGTAGACACGAGTAGCTGAATATTTTCATCTCATCAAGGGATTTACTTCTAAGACGATTTTAGCTATCTGACCGAGTTACGCACAACCTGCGTTGTCATATTTCGGTAGGTAACCGAATTCCATTTGACTAAAATACATCCTAATGCATGCAGAAGGTTCTCGCAACTTGACTTTGATTGATAGTTCGAAATTAAGAAATAGTACAGAGTTACACGATCAAAGGGGTTGTAATTCCAGGGCCCCTATTATGTGGGGATTCGATGAGAGAGTTAGGACTGTTGTCTGTAAGCGATTTACTTTGGTGCTCAGTTTTGCCAATATTTGTGTATCTAAATAAATAAAATCACTAACCTACAGAAGACAGAAGGGTGACATCACAACCTGCTCCGACCATTGCAGCAAGGTAATCTTACCAGAGCGTCATCATAGTGACGCACTTGAAAATCCTCACAGGGTTGTCCACTAATAGGAAAATACCAAAGTAACACCCCAGTTTATGCATCATGTATCTGTTCTACATGAAACGCCCTCATAACCATCGTACCTATAGCCTTTTCGATGGACCGTTGCAAGCAAGTATTAGATGAGCATACAAAAGCATACGAACTTCCCTCAGCCAGGTGGGATGACTAGTGAAATCACAGAGTAGGATAAAGTTGGAGTGACCAGCCTCCCCCCACCCAATGTTACATATGTTGATATTTCTTCATATCTCCCCACTTACGTATTTGTCTTAATTATCATTTCAATCCTGCCTCACTTTTCATTCACACCTAATCAGACATTCTTCATATCCCGTTACTCTGACTGAGATTAACTAAACTACTGGTAATATAATATTCTCAGTCCTAACAGTCCTATAGTCCATTGAAAAGAACATGGGAAAAGTGAATAAATCAAACTAACTATCACTAGGGCTACTGCATCCGCGAGAAGCCTCATTGAATACGACCAAAACATCCGGAATCGCTAGCTAACAAGAATACGCAAGCTCTCTGACATCAACTCGTATATACTAGCTCGCCACAAAGATATTGGATAGTTTGAGTTAACATCGGATGTAGTATTTTTAGAATGATAAAGTTTGGTTTACGTTGCTGCTTACGTATACTATTTGTGCGCAGGCCCGGTAGAAAAAATTGGAAGCTTTTAATGGATGATAAGAGATTCAGTTGTTTGTTGTTTTGTAAACTAGCTATAATTTTGTATTAAAATTTCTGTGGTCAGCAATGTTATGGGACTAAGCGTGTGATATAGTAACAAACTTTGGAGCTGAAGTTGCATATAAGCTCATATGCTGCACATATTTTCTTTTTAACTCTTACTATCTTTTATTCCGCAAACATTTACAAATGCATTTGAAAATGTCAGATTTTCAACATTTTATGAACCATAAGAATTCGGTTGGATTTTTCAGTCTCCAAAATTTAATATTTAAGTTATGACTTCCACTTCACGTCATAGTATATCTAATATTTGGCAATATAGAGGTGACAAAAAGTCGCGTGCGACTATCACTTAGTCACTCAACTTAAATAGCGGTACCTAGTTTTGGCTGTATTCAGAGACCTATGCTTCACGAGGGCTAACTGGTCTGAGGAGGTAGGTGTCGGCCACACAGAAACTCAATAAACGTTCGGAATTCCTGAATTGGAACTCAATAAAAATATCGATTTTTATTCATAAACGGTTTAAAAATAGGACTATAAGGAAAAGCCCCCAAATGTCTTCATACGGCCGAGAATGGAAAGAGTCGGCTCTCCCTCTCGAAATACTCTCACATGGCCACGCGTATATAGCCTCTGCCAGGGAAGTCCTACTCGCTGTCTGTTTTGCGGCGGGGGTGTTGTTTACGAAATTGAGAGGATGAATGGAAAATGTTTGACACCTTAACCGCATCGATGGACACAAGGGTCTTCAAAAAGTCTTAATATCAGCGTCTGCTGTCTATCCGAGCCCCCTATTCAAGACTGGTGAAGTACTACAAATTCGCTCTCCATCTGTCGCTTCAGAAGGCTCGTTTTATGTGCGTCTATCCGTCAGTCAGTCAGCTACAACGTAGGACCAGGCACATATGTGCATCGGTCCAGGTTGCCATACCGCATCAGCACAACAAGATGAACACCGGATTCATAGCAGTGGTTAGGTCAAAGGTAGTAATATGTAAGAGATTGCATATAGAGATATAGTACAAGAAGAAAGAATTCGTTCGTAGAAAGAAAGATATGAAGCGATTTTAATCTCTTAGTTTAAGGGAAGACAGGGAGTGCATACACCGACGCCATTGTGATCGATTCTGAGCCATGTCCACGTCTATCCGTGGACCCTGTGGCATCTCCGTCCAGTTTTGCTGGCGTTGGTGTCGCACTAAGCGCTAGAGCTGAGGCAGCACTAATCGATTGGATCCCCTTTAACAGTCGGTTATGTGCTGTTAGATTAGAATTCTGCATGAGAAATGACGTATTTTCGTCATCTTCACATATGCTCCGACAGATTGCAGCCCAGATGTGATGAAGGATGAGTTTTACCTCCAGTTAACTGTTCTTCGCCAGAAAGTGCGTCCTACAAATATTGTATTACCAGCCGGAGACTTAAATGCTCAGGTTGGGCGTCTAGGCACAAAGGAGAGTCGTTTAGGTGGCCGATGGGGACTTGTTGGTCACAGGACAGATAACGGGGGCCGTCTACTGCAACTGTGCACAGACCGTAACCTGTTTCTGGTTAGCATTAACTTCCGGCTCAGCCATCACTGACGTGCCACCTGGCGTCCTCCCTCTTTATCTCAAGCCTGAATTCGGATTGATCACATAACGACCAGCTACCGCTGGCGTGGTTGTGCACCAGACTGCCGCTCCTTTTGGAGTACTTATATGAGCTGTGATCATGTCCTTGTTTGCGCCAATCTTACTTTACTTTTCAGTGGCCAACGAATTCATCGTCCTAAACGGATTGATATCGGCAAGATGGTCGCAACTTCTGTCGCAAGTAAGTATGGAATCGAGCTAGCTTCTAGGCTAGCTACCATCCTACCAAAAAGTATAGATGATCATTGGTTGCAACTTCATGACGCTATGAAAATGGCAAGTAAAGCGGCTTGCGGCTTCGCGAAACTTCCTGCTTGTAAGCACTGGGTTTCTTCAGGCTTTTATAATTCATCGAAGTTCATCGGTCTACTCCTAGTGATCGTGAGTTTGACCACAAACGAAGGATGTTACGTAATGACTATCGTGGTATAACTCTACTTCCGACTGCGTCCAAACTCTTAGCTTCTGTCATACTTCGTAGGTTGTTCAAAACCCGAGAATTATTGACTCGCGGAGAGTAGGCTGGTCTTCGTTCTTGTTGAGGATGTATTGATCACATCTTCACCCTCCACCAAATGTTAGAGCACCGTCATACTTATCAAAGGCCAACAATCGTAATGTTTCTTGACATCAGGGCTGCCTTCGATTCGTTGGACAGGACTGTTCTCTGGGATTGTCTAGTGAAGAAGGGTGTGCCTGAGAAGTTTGTTAACATCTTAAAGGCCCCATATACAAACACCCCAGGCAGAGTGAGGGCATACAACCACCTCTCTCCATTGTCCCATTCAAGCAGTGGGGTTAGGCAGGGTTGCCCAATCTCAACATTCCTCATCAACTTTGCCATCGACGACATTCTGGAAACAGCTCTGATGGATGTAAGCAATGGCGGTGTGGATCTGTTGCCTGGAGAAAGACTTCTCGACCTTGAGCACGCGGATGATATTGTCTTACTGTGCGAAAATGCCCAAGCCATGCAATCCGCACTTAATCAGTTGGCAATCAGTGTCCGTAGGTATGGTATGTGCTTTGCACCTTCGAACTGCAAAGTACTTCTACAAGACTGGCAGGATTCTAATCCTGTACTCACCCTGGATGGTGAGCAGATAGAAGTAGTTGACAAGTTCGTGTATCTAGGTAACTGCATAAGTGCTGGTGGTGGCCTGACTGATGAGATCAATGCACATATAGTGAAAGCCAGAGCGGTTTATGCCAATCTGGGCCATTTTTGGCGTCTTCGTGATGTCAGTCTAGCTGTAAAAGGTCGGATCTACAACGCGTCGGTGAGAGCAGTTTTGCTCTATGCTAGTGAAACCTGGCCTCTCCGATTTGGGGATGTTAGACGACTCTCTGTGTTTGATCATCGCTGTCTCCGAAGGATTGCTGACATCCAGTGTCAACACCATGTTAGTAATGCAGGGGTTCGTCGTCGTGTGTTCGAGTGCAGAGACGATAATTCAATTGGTGTCACCATTTCGAAACACCGACTTTGGTGTCTTGGATATGTTCTACGAATGTCGTCCCAGAGAATTCCACGTCGTGCATTATTTGCCGACTCCGGGACTGGTTGGAAAAAGCGGAGAGGTGGTCAGTGTATGATATTGTTTCGTGATATGAATGAAAGATGTACAAGACAAGCTACTGTTAGTCCTTCACGAGTCCCTGGTTGGGGTCTGAGAGATGGTGCGACACTGTGGTTGGAAAGCGTAAAAAATCATTCTTTGAGAAGTGTATATTAGTCCAAGCAATAAATAAAGCCGCTGTCTAAGTACATTTTTCCAGAAAATCGTGTTAGGGTTACACACTGGTTTATATATATATATATATATATATATATATATATATATATATATATATATATATATATATATATATATATATATATAGTAAAACTTTCGTAAATTATTATTCTTGTTCCAATAACCTATTTTTATTTTATTTTAGTCATAAATGTATGAACTGCTTGAGTACGAGGCTTCTATTCTTGTCGACATTCACCACGAAAGCTCATTGCTGGTGCTTGCTGATGGTCTGGGAATGGATACAATTATTTATAGCACACTAAGGTTACATTCAGATCCTCACAACTTAGTGCTTGTTTCGAACTATCGTCTCCCAGAAGCTCGTTTTCTAACAGGTATACTGGAAAAGAATGGAATAATCCACTCTCCTGGAATAATTACTGCCGAGGTAAATAATAAGGAACGTGAGGCAATTTACAAGCGAGGTGGTGTGGTATTTGTCAGTTCTCGCATATTAGTTGTGGACTTACTGATGGAAAGAATGCCTGCCACTTTGGTTTCCGGTGTCTTGATTCTTCGGGCACATGAGCTACACGAGGCTTGCCAAGATAGTTTCGCTATTCAGCTTCTCAGAGAACGCAATCCGCAGTTGTTTATCAAGGCTTTCAGTGATAATTCATTGTCTTTGACTTCTGGTTACAATCATGCAGAAAGGATTATGTTGCAGCTGGGTATTTCGAAGCTTGTTCTTTGGCCAAGATTCAATATGCAGGTTGTTTCTTGTCTAAATGAAAGCCAACCTGATGTGGAAGAAGTTCGCGTAAGATTTTTTATACCATAACTATTGCTATTACATTTAGGAATAAAAACACATACCCACTAGCGATTATATTTGTAGGATGAATACATTTGTGCATCTCGATCTTATCTTTGTGGTTTGGTCGTTGATAAACTTACACTCAGAAGATCCTAAATTGGATTGATCTTGTATTTATACTTATTTCAACATCTTTAGAAATTTACTAGTTAATTATCTTACGTAATTTTTGTTTTATCAGGTAAAGTTGACTTCAGAAATGATTATTTGTCAGTCGTGTATACTTGACCTTATGAAGGCCTCATTGAAAGAATTATGCGATCAAAATCCAACACTAAATACGGACGATCTTACCTTAGAAAAAGCTCTGTTACCGAATTTCGACAGTCTTGTAAGTTGTTCATACCTTTCAACTTATCTTAAAGTATTGTCTTTAAAAGTCTGCAGTCAACATTTCGTGGATATTTCAAATAAATTACCATTTTTAAAACCAAAAGTGACTCTAGAGGACTAGTAGATACTTTTCGAATATCTGACCAAAAAATTAAGTGGGCTGGTGAATTGAGAATCTTATATAACACGTTAATTACGTTATGTCTAAATTGTAAACCACTAATTATATCTCATTATGGATGTAAAATTGTCTCGATGAACCTTACTAGAAATTTGTTGGATATAGGAAATATATCGAGAATGGTGTATACCATATATTTTTGAGATGAATTGGGTTTAAGACCTGAGGTGGTCATGACGTGATGATAATTCATGTGTCCGTGAAATTGCTAGTGTACTTGGGAAATATCGAGTTAGAGCATTTAAACCCAACCAGTAATAAGTGGTTTCACCTGACTTAAGTATCTCGCGACTAAAATGACGCAGACCAGTTTCATTTTTATACAATATTCATACTTATTTTAATAAAATATTAAAATAAGAGTAATGTGTTCTCAAAGTGATAAAGAGCTGAGGACTTGCTGACTGTTAAATTGATATGGGTAGAATATTGTTTGCCAGTAGGTCAACCTCTGGGTAATGTAATATCACTTTTTTGTGTGGTCATGCATCTACTGCCGTGCATTGTTTCGTAATGTTTTTTTGCGACTCTGTCTATTAGTGCGTCTTTACTTATTGTCATGTATAACTAAATTATTTTAATAACTAATCTTGATCTAACAATAGTATAAAGACACAAGTCCTCTTTATTCGACTAAGGCTATTTATCCACCTTGTAAAATTGTCGCGTTAACAGTCAAGCCGACTTTTTCATAGTGGTAATAAGATTGAAGCCGATTACCACTAGATCAGCTGAAGCCAGTGGGCAAATAAATGAGAAACACGAAAGTAAAGCCAGAAGCTTGCGATTCTACCACAGCGTGTAAGATTACATATATCTGTTCCACGAGAGAGCCTTTGTGTTATGAGTTCAGTAATGCTGAGAGGCGAAAGTTGATCAGTTAGTAAATGTGATTTCCGGTAATATAAGCTTACGAAGCTTTGTCGTTTCATTGTTAAAGCTCCATTATCAACATGTATTTCTGTGATTAAAAATTCTTCTTTTCGAACGAAATATTAACTACTCACATTTCTATCTTTTATCCAATTAAATAAGGTCTCGTTATACGTTGACCCTGTATGGAATCAGCTCAGTTCAGTCAGTCGACGTCTTGTCGGAGATATTTCAAGCTTGAGGCGTTTACTCCACTTATTGATTGAAGGAGATGCTGTCAACTTTTTAACCAATATGGAAGGTTTACGTCAAGCCGCTTTAGCAAGTTTAGGCGTAACTCAAAAGAGTGAAATAAATTCAAAAAGGGCTGCTTCAAGAGGTTGTCCTAGTTGGTTTTTGATGGATCAAGCTGATCGTCTTTTGGCGTCTGCAAGGTCTCGTGTATATGCTGATTACAGCAAAAGTATGTTCCTACATTTTTTAAACTACTGTAAGTACTTTCGTTGACAGCATTTTATGCTTTGTCAACTATTCATTTTCATATTCATCTAAGTTGTCAGGGATTCAAACAGTTCGTAATTATTTAATTTCGAAATAACTTGTTCACAGTTAGCTTGATAGTATGGTTACATAGTTGTGTGTCAAAAATCTTTTCAGTAATCCTGGCTGATAGAGTTTGCGGAGTAATATCAGTGAGCTGAGATATTCGTCAATAAATATTCAGTTAAATTTTCAGCGTTTAAAGTGCGAAATCGTAATGGGAAATTCCAGGAGTTTATATATTATCTAAATTGATCTTTATTAGTTGATGTTTCAAATTCCTTTTCATGGCTCAATGACCTTTATTTATCTCATTGAAATACCATAATTTCATTTCTGTTAAGCGAGAATAACAAATTCGATAGAAAACAGTGAATTCGTTGAGAATTTCGTTGTCACTTATTCAGCAACGTATAAGGTAAGATAAATAATAGATATAAGTGATTAAATATTATGACATAACTAACAGTGTATTTTATTAACAAACCAGTGGAAGCCAATAGTATGTAATCCGACCGTTTGATTAAGTGTTAAAAACTCAATCGTCTTTTTATTTGCAGTATCCTAAAAGATATTCTGTTCGTTGGATCATATCAACAACGCAAAATTCATCATATATTTGGTCAGTTTGTCATCAAATACTTCTTGTGGATGTTTGGTTTCCGAAGTAAAATTTATGTTTGTGGACGCGTGAAAATATTGTATCCTTAAAATGCACTACAGTGAATTCTTCCATATTGAGCCTAGATACCATTCCGTTCACGAGTCATTGTTAGGAGATGGATCGTTTCCTGAAAATTCACTCACAATCGACCAATAATTTGATGTCCTATTAGTAACAATTATTAAATTCTCAAACCACTCGCGTACGTTTAAATCAGGTGCTGATTCTAAACACATAATAAAAAATTCTATTAATCCCAACTAATTTCCCCGTCATCATCGGTGAACAAACCTTTTGTTTTTCTTTCATGCTGTAAATCGTTTGGAATTTGATCAAGAGTCATTCGGAGGCTTAGTACGAGTTTGGTTGAAGTGTACTTCAAGAAGTATTTACGTTGGGTTCATTACTATGTTGACATTTCGATCCACGTAGCTAGTAACCGAGTCATAGCATCCGCGATAGGTATTTATGACGCAGTGATAACTTATCTAGATGTGAAGTTGGCTTTTTAATAGTACATGAAACTAATGAAGCTATAACGGAGTGATTACGTACAACAACATTAAATCTTTCCTACTACATCCTGAAACTCATCATCAGCGAGATTAATTCCCTGTAATATAACGAAGTTTTCTTTGATCTTACTGCTAATGCTGTTTTTGATTCTTGATCCAAGCATTATGGAAATTCGTTTTACTTTGAGTTTGCTCATCAAGGTGCCACACGAAAATCGTCGCTATTTCCATGCAAACTGGGTATCACTTAACAGGAAGGTACTCATTTCATATTACCATATCAACTACGTGGTCGTAATTTCAAAGTCATCATTCCAAATGTTTGAGACCAGTGTTCACTATTTAAGGCATGGTATCAATCCATAAAATACAAAGCGAAAAACTAATGACTTCGTTACGTATGAAGGCATTGCTAATCTATAAAGTGAGTACTGTAAATTACTATCTTTTATGGATGACCAATCCAAGTGCCTAATTTTATCCGTGAACTCCAATGCCCTAAAGATGCGGATATTGACATGCATCTATTGAGTAAGATTGAACAGGACTCTCAAATAACACCGCACAGTTACTGAAGTATGTCAACGACTTATAAACTTTAAAAGTGACGAGGAAATCTTTCAGCACCTGGGAAAACTCAGTTCATTACATATCGTTTTAGCTTCAAATCATTCACCTAGCCAGTGTTCCCGAACCAACAACGCAAAACAACCTCCATTAACATGTCAATATTGCAGTGGATAGCATTTTTACCACTTTTGTTATTTCAAAAACAACATTGCAATCAATAATGCAGCGAAGTCGGACACAGAAATGATTACTTTGAATAACGTTGCAACATAACCAAATTTACTGTGAGGCGAAGAACTCCCCCCCCCCCAATCCAAGCGTGACACTAATTCAAGGATCCGCTAGGGGTATAAATTTATCGCTAGCAGCTGGTGGATATATTACTTACTATCAAGTAGACATTACATATATCATGGTCGTGTCGACCGAACTGTGAAAATCCGTAAGCTGAGCAACATTCCACGAAACGCGTCAGGTTATGAAAGTACAATGGGGTATCGCACCTCAAGATATTACTAAATTGTGATGCTACATATCAATCGAAAACAATCTCTTAATTATGTTATATTATTGGTGTGAAGGTAAACTTACTTGGTCTCTACTGAATTAGTTCTCTAAGGTTCCGCAGTCTGTTCGGACGTTGACGATAATTTCATTTTCTTATCCATATGGGTCTCATTCTGGTATCCATTTGTACTAGTATTTATGTATTTTAAATAAACAAATAAAAATGATTACTTTTTTGCTACCGCATCCAAGCAGATTATGTGAGTTTAGTATTTTGATTGGCTACAGGAAGTAGCAGATAAGGTAATAGCTGCTTCGAATGAAACACGGGTACCGTTAAGTAGTTTGGATTTTTGTTCATTAGCACAAGTCGTCTTTAAATACTTCGGCAAACTCTATAATTTAATTTGGTAAGTCTGCTATTAAATTCCTTTGTACTTGAAGGTATATATTATTTAATAACTGCAAATATAGTCCCAACTTACTTATTCAGTCCAGACCATATAAGTGCACGTTAGCTTCAGCAATATAACACGATTTAAATGTGATTACACCTTGAAATGTATTAAAATGAAGTGTTACCATTTGATTCGATCCAGAAAACCTATGGGATAAAAGGGTTAATATCTTGTTGATATTTTAAAACGTGGTTTTTTGTAACCTCCCCGTTTGTTTCCGAATTTATAGTTTTCTTCTCTCTTCATAAGTAATTATCATCTAAGTATCTTAAACTGATAGTAGTTGCTGATATCACAATTAATTGATTCTAAATTATTTTAACGGCTATGATATTTCAACCAAAAAGCTCTAGTTTCCCCATAACTTTTCAATAGTTCATCCATATAGGGGCTATTAATTCGTAGTTCACTCAAAGTAAAATAATCACTTGTTTTTTTATCAACAAAAATTATCATAGGATTTATTGTTTTGTAATTTTTATTTTTTCGACTTATACTTTTATAGAATTATTAAATGTTGAGATTAGTCCTAAATGGAAAGCACTTGTTGAACTACTAAAAGAAATCTATACCAGCACAACTGATCAAACATTAAGTCATACCATATTAATTCTTGTCAGTCGTGAAAATACAGCAAGGTATCTTGAACGTTATTTACAACGTGGAATACAATCTATTAAGAAGTTTCTTGTTCAAACTTCAGATTTACCTGAATTACAGTCGCATAAAATACAACAGAAGGTAATGTATACAGTATGAAATAAAATTATGTATATAATTGACGTTTGCATCTCAGTTAAATGATTTTGTTGTTGAATAAAAATAAAGAGAAACCAGGGATAATTCGACGAAATCAGTTACTTAAGCTGTACATTTGTAGTTGTTCGGTGAATATGTCTCTAAAAAGATAGAAAATATCTCATCGTAAAGTGATTCGAGATTTCAAGTATCAAATGAGATTGCATAATAATCAGTGGGTTAGAGGAAAATAGGAGAATGAACATAATTTACGGGTCAGAATTATGAACGATATTTGTCCATTTGACAGATATGATGAAGAATGAAAAACATAAATGTCGTAATAAAAATAGGACAATAATCATGAAAAAGTTGTTAAAAGATGATAATGACTGATTACAGTTTTAAATTACAAAGCAATAATAAAAACAAAACAAGACCAAAACATACTGCAGAAGAGAGTTACGAACAAGGAAATATAAGAGGTTGAACGCATCGTTTTCGCATTCAGAGTTCGGGCTTGAATTGGTGAATTTCACGATCAAACGTTAATTTTCAGTATAGAATTGTGGAGATTGTTGAGTTCCGCTGAAATCATGGTGGACCACCATTGATCGGTTCATGATTTCAACGAAATATGTATTTATTTGGCCAATACACACAACTACTAGTATTTTGTTTCGTGGTAGTTTTATTTCTCTCCAAATTATCATTCTAATTTTCTTGTGCGCTAAATTTCTCTTTTTGTTTTTCTTTGTAAAAAAAAACGAAAAATAGTCTGCCAAATTAATGAATCTGAAATCTTCTGGAGAATCATCCCTAACTACTCTAACACAAATTTGCAAAAAATATAAATTTGATGAATTGTGTGGAGATAATGATGACACTTCATCCTCATCAGAGGAAAATTGTAAAATGGATAATACTGAAAAAATCACTAACAATAATAATCGTTTGCCTTTAGGATGTCATGAAGTTAGCATTCATCCTAGTTTATTAATTTCATCCAATATAAAGATGTCTAATTCACTTAAAATTATTATACGTGTAACACCAACATTTTCAGGGGATGAAAATAGTCAGTTTTATGGGTCAGCAAAAGATCACCAAGATGAGTCCGATTTATTTGTACAACAATATGGTTATCGATTATCATATATTTTAGATGTACTTCAACCTAATTATGTGATATTATATGAGCCCAAATTATCATGGGTCAGAGAATTAGAAGTGTACAATGCACGTCTTCTAATTCAACATTTCTCAAAAAGTGACTCTTCAGGTAACATCAGAGAGCTTAATAATTCTTTACCTTCATTAAAAATATATTTTGTACTGTATGAAAATTCCGTTGAAGAACAACGATATTTAACAAGTTTACGTAAAGTACGTTGATTTTCAGCTCATTTATTTTTCTCAGACATTTATCATTTTTATAACTTAGTTGTGCAAAATATCAGTAATTACTCTTCAGAGTGGACTTTTTAAATATACGGTGTGGTTTCATTTTAGGTAAAAACATGTAATACCAAACAATTCTTTTTACGGACTCGACTGTGTAGCATAACTAGTTGTGAAGCTACAGAGATGAACACGTAAATTTAAGATTCCCTACGTTGTTCTTTTTGTATAACAAATCTGTGGGTGACCTGAAAAATAACATTGAACATGAATATGGTCGAAAGCCTCAAACTAAGAGAACTTTGATTTACCGTTCACGGTAATTAATGGGGATGCCTTCATTACAAATTTTGTAATACCTCGACAAAAATAATTAACATAGTCACAAATGGTTATGTAAATATTATAGATGAGAAAATATTATGGTAAAGTAGATCAGTGCAAAAAAGGACAAAATTACTAGTAAAATTAACTAGTTTTTCTAACACTTCCGAAACAATTTTCCTTAATGTATTCTATAGCATGTATCCCTCTAGCCGAAAAGTACGTGTTGAAATGTCTGAAGGTGTCACTTCTATTATCTGTTAATCTGACTAACTGCATTATCTCACTAGCTGTCATACATATATTTTTATCCGTACTTTTCCCCACGCCCTGTTATAGCAGACATAAATTTTTAGCGCTGCTGTCACGTCCACATTTAGGTTTCAGACGCATCTTAATGTTGGAATTGTAGCGTTCAAGGTCGTCTTTCACTTTTTTTCCTATTCTCACCTATCCACTAGGTTGTCTATTTAATGCAGTTCCGCCTCATTTCAAGTAGGCAAACACCAGAAATATTCTGTTATTTCAATTTAAACATCTTATTTTCGAACTTCGAGTAATATTCGTTAAAGTGTTGTTACTACAATGTGTTCAGCTTGGCTGTTTTCTTGGATGTTGTTGGTCGAATTTTTGTTACTCAAAGGTCAATTTATTATGGTCGACTGCCTTTAGTATTCTATTCTATAGTCATTAATAGCTTATTTCAGACCTCTTTTATGTGCATCAAAATCGTTACCTGATTTATTGAACAACAGGAAAGTAAACTGTATGTATAATCTGTTTTCTCTTCCAAAGGAAAAAGAAGCATTTGAATCTCTTATTCAGCTAAGTAGCACTCTTGTTATACCAAAAGATACAACAATACCATATGGAAAATTAAACCCAGGTGATAATCAAGCAGTGTCTCGTGTAATTGTAGATATGCGTGAATTTCGTAGTGAGCTACCAGCACTTTTACACAGAAAAGGATTAAAAGTAAGAAATCTACTTCCACACTTTATTTGTACGTATAGTTCTGTTAATAATATTGGATAGTTCTTTTACTTAAACAGGATGTAAATTGGTGAAAAACACTTACAGCTCAGCATTTGGGTGATTAACTCGTGTTGCTTACTAAGTTTGTGTCTGTGATAGTAAATGTTCTAATGTTATAAAAGTCACCATCACTAGCTGAAGTTCTTAGTAGGTCACATTAGCCAATCGTCATCACTGAATACTGGAGTATTCAGAAACCAAGTGTTTATATGTAAGCTTACAGCCAAATATTTACGAATTCAGAGTTGTTAACATCTGATTGACGTAGAAGGGGTTTATATATGTAAATCAGTATGAAATATTCACTGAAAATTTTAGAATTTGATTGACGAAGAAACTGGCTATTCATTAATAAAATCAGAAACTCCAGAATTATTTGAAATGAGTTAACAGTTTCCTTCCGTTATATACGATCATTTTCGCATAATTTGTCAGTCACGGTGAAAGATCATATGACATAGAACGATAACGATATACACATAACCTCTAAGTACCAAATTTCTAAGATATAGAAGAATTCTTTGTATGGATTTTTCCGTCTGAGCCTATTATCTATGAAAAGTAAAGAGACATCAAAAATACTTAAATTACATGGACTCAGAAAATTATTTTGTAGACAAACTTTGTGGTGTGTTTTATAATACATAAGAATTGAGCTTTCGTTAAACTTTTAACCAGTCGTTAAAAATAATTTTGAAAGTGCCTTATGATTTTCTCATAATCTTTGCTGTTAACAGGACATTATTATCCTGTTACGGAATTTTTTATTGTTTTAAAAAATTCGATTCCAAATGCAGTCGAATTGTTTATTTTCAAGAAATGTTTTCTATGAGATGATTGTTCACCATTAAACTAGAACTATCATGAAGTGTCAGTTTCGACACTCATATTCATTGATTTAACTGTAATTTCTATTCATACATAATTTGTTCTTTTTGAATGAAATTAATTAATCCTATTTGTTTGCTTATATATATATATATAGGTAGAACCTATGACTTTAAGTATTGCAGATTATATTCTTGCTCCGCATTTATGTGTTGAAAGAAAATCTGTTAGTGATCTCATTGGTTCTCTTAACTCTGGACGACTATATCATCAAGCTACTGCAATGTCACGTCATTATGCAAGTCCAGTTCTCCTAATTGAATTTTCTATACATAATAAAGGTAATCACCATTTGTTCATAACTATTTTAATAATAATATAGCAGAATAACTGAGTACGTGGTTACTGATTAGATTATGTATTACGCTTAGCATATGAGAACCTGTTGTATCACCTCGTTACACAGACTAAAGTTTAGTCGGGAGCTCCAACTCCACTTCTGAAAACACCAACAGAATCAGTGTTTTACAGTTACAGATTATTCTGAGTAATTGAGAGCTGTCTATTCGATATCCTAGATCTTTCCAATGTTTGGGAATTTCATTGGTAAAAATCTTTTTCTATTTCCAAACATGCTCCTAAAACAGCATTTTAACTCCTAGTTATTCCTGTATATGTTTTTGAATATATGTAAATTGTATGGCATCTGGTAAGAACTATCCAACTTCTTAAACTTCTGTACATGAATCTTGTTTGCAATATATAACCTGGTTGTATAATATAATAAACCACAATGCGTCCTAGATACTACTGTGTATGATGATAATTTCAAATTGTTTAGTCTAAGAAATTCAGATCCACCACTTACTTCGAGATGACGAACTCGTTTGTGCCAGCAACTTACAATCTGTTCCGTCAGTACTTGGTTGAACCTATATTATTCTCTTATTTTTATCAACAAACAATCACTTTTTATATTCCTTTTCCGTCCTAACATAGTTTCTAGTTTAAATCATGGGAGTACAAGAGGATTTCATGGAAGTGAAGCAGTTGGTTTTACCTTGTACACTGGGCGACATGCAATTAACCCTAGTTCAGAGTTTAATTCCCATCATCTTTTATCTAAACTTGTTTTGCTCACTATCCACTTTCCTAATCTACGAATATTTTGGAGCATGACTCCCTATTGTACTGCAGAATTGTTTGCGGAGATCAAACTTGGTCGGCCAGAACCAAGTGTTGAAAAACTTCCTCAGGTATGAGCTTCTTTTCCAGAGTTACTGATGCTTTTAACGTACTTTGAAAATTTAGATCCATAAGGATAAACATTGTTTTTTGTAGCAATTATTAGTGTCTAGTATGTTTTTATCGCATCTATGTTTGTTAACTCCTTGATCAGTTTATTCACTAATATACGGGAGACAACTTGTTTAAATCTAGATTAAGGGTTTGACATGATAAGCTGACTGGCTCAACCTTGAGGCTATAATCGCGTGAGTTCGAAGTGAGACTAACAGCCTTGGGTAGAGAGACGAAAAATGTTCTACCACCTGATTGGTCCACAAGTGCGCACAAGCGAAAAGACGAGTCAACTGGGACACTATTCGATTTATCCTCGATTCCGATTTAGGTTAGTGCAAAAAGATACATGAATAGATGGCTAACATGACCACAACGCACAAACATTTAGAAAAATAGGATTACGTCCAAAACTGAGGATTAGGGTAGAAAAAAGAGTACAAAAGATTACGTTTAAATTACAATAGCTTTGGAACAGAAAAGGCTATGGCAGTGAATCGTATATCAAACGAAAGCTTATGGTCTGTGAAATGAACTGGAGACAAAACTGAATGTTGACGTTTTACAAGCTTTGAATGACGTAACATAACGTCATTTCAGGGTTGTGGAGGTCATTAAGTTTTTGATGGAGATCGTGAACCGATTGATGTTAGGCCACTATTGAAAACCTGGAAGCACTAGACGGCCGTTTCGTTCTATTGTTGGACTTCTCTGCAGTGCGCATCCACGATCCCACTCGCCGGGGTCGAACTCAGGGCCTTTAGTCTCGCGCGCGAACGCTTGACATATAGACCATTGAGCCGGCATCCAATGGTGTTAATGTCTAACCTCAACCAATCCATGAAATTGCGCGACCATCTTCCACTGTAGATAGATAGGTAGGTAGATACCTGTCTCTATCCGACTAGGATTAACTCCACTGGTCACGGCCTATCATTAGAACTAGAACCGTTGGATGCCGGTTCAGTGGTCTAGAGTTCAAGCGTCCGCGCGCGAGACTGGAGGCCCTGGGCTCGAATTCCGCGGGCGGGATCGTGGATGCGCACTGCTGATGAGTCCCACAATAGAACGAAACTGCCGTCCAGTGCTTCCAAGTTTTCAATGGTTTAACATCAATCGGTTCATAAAATAACATCTTGTTTTTTGTCATGGCTTCTTATTTCTCTGTTCGAATGAATGCTTTACTCTTTCAGGATGGTGATCATTTAGAGGATCATAATGTTGAAGCTGTTGACATGCTATTAAAATTACCAGGTGTATCATGGAAAAATTATCGGCGCATAATGAGTCATGTTTCTTCTTTATACGATTTGGTTAACTGCAGTATGGAAAGGTTAGCAGAAATTTTGGATAGCAGGTATGGCCGTTTACTGTTTTTGACATTCTGCTTTTTCAAAATACTTCTAACATATGAAGACTCACTCATTGCTTCAATTTTGTTATCTCATTTGGCTCTCTGAGTAATGCCATGTGTTAAGTCACCAATCAGAATCCTAATCCCAATTCGGTCTAGTGTGTACTATTACCTCAATATCCTAGTGCCCTCAAACTGACCAATCACATGCCCGACTAGCGCTATTGATTTTGGGCCGACAGTCCTCACTGCCCCATTATTTGCGAGCCTCTCTCCACGCCCCACTTTGAGACCAAAATTAGTAGCCAGCCTCCACTATATTTGTATTTTAAACAGATATGGTTTAGAAACAAACATACCACACCGCATCACACCATAAAATAAAGAAATAGTAGCTATACAAAAGTGACTATGAATAGGGGAGACTGTAAGTAATAAATTGGCAACAAATTTAAGAATATTAAGTCGTAAAAGAGTAATTAATGTATTAACTGAAAGCTTGTAGTAAATGGAATAGGAATACACAGTAATCCAGTTGTCTAGTGACTATACAACAAAACTAATATTAATATAATAAACCAGTCCCAATTCTTACACTATTTGTTCCGTTATAATTAATTTCAAATCCTTTTTGTTCTCAAAAGTGGTGTACGATCGTCATCAAAATACATTTCAACTAGTATATAACATTATGAGGATTAAAAAATTAACGAAGATACAAAAATGTGGTGGAACTAATCAGAAAAAGACAAAGCTATACAAGGTACATTCAGCAGAACTAATGTGTTTTTAAAGTTCTGATGTCCGTACAGAACAAGGTAGAGCTAGCTTAAACAGTGGTCTATGTCATCTTAAATAATATCCGACAACACTTTAAGTCATCAGAGTTTCACAATATCTACTATTTTATGTGGGAAATTAGTAACAAATATTATCCTAACAAACTATTCTCCACTGTGTATCGCATCAATGGACATATGTATGTTATGGTTATCTTTAAAGATGAGCGTGATAGTAACTTCACGGAGCTAAAATATAATGATTCTTGAAAATGCACTGGCAATATATCCGCTATGTCACACGAATTCCAGTACTATGAGCTACTTCAGGATCTGTATGTCATTGAATAAATTGCCAATTTCCAACTGTACAGTTCAGAATAATACGGTTAAATTAGTTGTTACAATATTTCATGATTCTTAAAGGTTTTCTTCTGCTATCACCTCAGCTTCATCGTTTTCGATCACTCTACTTTATGATAACCACCCATCACTTGTGTGTACATTCTTTAAAGATATTTTACCGAATTCTCCCTTATGTTCAGTATTGACTTATGAGAATCAGCAACTATCGTGAAGTTACAAGACCACCAATTAAGAATTTTAATAGCCAGGCATTTAGTCACAACTAATAAGAACTTTTCTGAAAATTTCAACCTTGTGATTGCAACTAATAACAAACTACATTTCTCAGCGTAACGATAGCGTTAATGTTCAACTATAACAAATTTCCAGCGTTAACCACTTAAGATGTCAAATTTTTAACTGCAGAGCTGCCAGGTGAATGTGATGAATATTAAGAGATATTCACAAATTTAAGACTAAGCTAATCATCTGCACATTTAAAACTTCCGCAGATGCATGGAGCATTTTCTATCTAGGCTCTGCTCTAAGCGGTTGATGTCGGACGTCAAAAATCTCGTTTCTATTGTTCAACAAATTGGTTTCTTCTAAAAATCAGATTTGAGTCCTATTCTAAATTGATTACCCCATGTATGACTGAATTTTATCGTAGATTTTGGTATCTTCAAAACCAAACGAGTGATATCCTGTGATGCATTCTAAGATTTTCTGTTAGACTGACTAAATATCGTTGTATTATGATAGGGAGCGCCTAAGGTGGGAATCAACATTTCAGGTACCTTGGTCAGTGAGGTAGAAATATTTCTGCTCACGCTTTAATTTATACTCATTGAGATATATAGTTCTGCGGGTAGCAGCAGTTATCTTTATTGTCGATTCGTGTACTATCAGTGGAAATACATAATGATCATCGTATCAGAATTCAGTCGGTCATATTGTGGTGTGACCTACTTATATTGATATAAGTAGTATATAACGTGCGTTAAAAGAACGTAATGTCCGGTAGCAGAAGATGGCGAAGATCAAGAAAGGAAGAGCAAGAACACAATGCAATTGTAAGAAAACGCATGTACAATGGAATGGGAGACAATGGATTAGTGTTTGCAACGGGAACAGTACAGTTTGATATGATGGAATGATGTTTTGCAAATTGACGATTGACTTTATGGTATTCACATTATATTGAGATAGTCTGTAATTTTTGTGCCAAATACAATCGATTGTCCCCACCCGTGTTCTTGTTCACTACAATATCATGTTAAATAACCTTTAATTTTCACTTGTGGCAGAATTAGTTTACGTAAAATTATTACATTGTGATTGACTTCCTCAGTGCAACTCGGTGGGAATGTTTGTAATTGTTGATCTGATTAATTATGATTTGATGTTAAATCCCAATTATGCTTTGTTTTAATCATGTTCATTTAATTTATTTTGAGCTGACAATCAACATTATTTTCGTAGTATTTTCCATTTTAATAATAGTTTATACATGTAGTGTCCAATTCCAACTTGATCTATTTGTTTAAATTGTTAATTTCCAGTGAATCTGCTGTTAAACTGCACAATTTCCTCCATTCCAAATGTAGTGGTTTAGTTTCGAATGCCTCGACAGATATTGCTGATGAATCATTCAAGTGTCAAAACAGACGTAAAGCCAGACTAAATTTATCAGCTTGTGTAAGAACACGTCGTGGGAAAGGTTGTGGGCCTATCAAAATGTAGCCCGATTTAATTAATAATGATAAATATTTGTAACAATCTTGTACATAAAATAAAATTTAAGTTCTTATTCTAACCATTTTTTAATGTTCATATGGCAACTTATTTGTTACCATATTGCTCTATCAATTCGAAATATTTCTCATGCGTGCTGACTTGTTCACTGGAATAAGGGAAAAAGCTCGGCATACTCTTTTCATCTTTCATGTACACGGTGTGAAGAATAAGATAATGATAAATTTCCAATCTCCAATACAGAAAGAACATGCATTTTCACGGGAAACATTTTTACTTACCCCATTACATTTATGCATTTCTTGGCGAATATGTTCGTCATAATGTCACAAGTACTGATTATATCCGAACTCAATATAGCAGAACATAACGACATGGAGCTTTTTAGAACACCGCATAACTTGTATATACCCAACAGGTATTTGGCTTAGAACTTTTTATCATGCTGTGCAGAAGCAGAGAAGCTAACACTAAGTCTAACTGCAAGGAGGTGGAAATAGTGAGGGCAACAGAGTGCCAAAACTAAAATGAATTTTTAATTCTGCGTCTTTGACCTGCTTGATTAGCATCAGTGTTGAAGCATTTTCAAGAATCTTCCACCTCTATAATCATGCACAACTGGTATGTGGCATATTACTAAGTGCAGCCAAAACATTGTGGACGCTTTCGTGAAAATAAATTACGCAGATCTCTAAGTTTCTGAACGACCACAAACCCACTGGAATAACGACATTGAAGCATGTATCCAACCAGCATTATTGAGAAAACAGGATTTTATAGATTCATTCCAATTCCGAAACAGTTATTTAATTGGTTCGCAAACTTCACTTGATGTCAGAAATATATCAAGGTCACCATACAATGTTGATTCTTACTCTCTGAATGAATAATACCGTGTTCGTTCCAAAACCTGGATGAAACAGTTGTCTAGTGTTTCCCTAACCGATGCCATCCTGAAATGGGGGTATATATTCACTTCTCACAACAGAATGATGCTCCTACACACACTATAGTTCTTTCTTTCGAAAATTACCTAAATTCAGTTGTATGATACAAATAAATGTTTCCTAATTACATTAACCAGTCAACTACTAAAGGCCTATTTATTTGACGAATTTTACCCGTAGATCTCTAGAATCTCCCATGTATAAACTATAAATACACTGACGTTTCTCTTATTGTGCTTTTTACTACCATCTACCCTTGTTATTGAGAATATGGTTTCTTTCCTGTCCAACTGTGTTCTGATTTGGGGACTTGTCGAGTGAATTGGTGTTCACTGATGAATTTAAAATAGTTCATCCAAGAGGTTTAAGATGTGTTCTGGTGTATGAGGCAGCAAAAATACGGTCAGTTTCTCCTTGGATTTCAACTAAGTCTCAGATATGAAACAGCCTGATTATGCCCTCATGCTTGTGTCCGTAACCTCAATTTATCAAAGATTCAACAGTTAATTACGTGAATGAAACTGGGCATTATGTGCCGTATAATTCCAAACGTGTAAGGAGAATGCGGCATATGATCATTCAAAGTCAAGAGCTAACAGTGAGAGAATGGATCGATACGTTGATATAGGACTATGCTGACTAGTTTTTAATGTGATAGTATGTCTATCCCACACTATTACATATATGCCCTAAATACCCGGTTTTTATGACAAGAGTGAATAATCAGCCAACGAATAAAATGTCAGATGCAACACTATTCCTGTCTGCAGCTAGAACGGAACAAAAAATTGAGACGTCTGCGCCTACTTTATGGTTAATTTCTGTGGTGTTTGTATGAAAACATGATGGTTGATTTCGAATTCTAAATTCAATACGTTCATTTGTACTCACCTAGTTCTATTAGGCTTAGGTCGAACTGTTTCGGGAATTCCTATTTAATACAATTTTTTGCGGCATACATAGTGGCAAATATAAGTTACATTTGAACTGCTAGTTCTCGTCGGTGAGCGTAAACCTCACCCTCATTGGCAATTTTAACCTTGTACCTGGTGACCAGCTAAAAATGAAGTTGGGATTATTATCTACACCATCGTCATTTATGATCGAGGACGTGTTTCGTTAAATGTTGTTTTTGATGTCTTTCATGAAATGGATGACAGTCCAGTTATAAAAGTTAGACTAACTGAAATCTTAACCATAGTCTGTAAACTGGACGTAATCCCATTTGATTGGCCTCGGTGGCTGATCGTCCAAGTTTATGAGGAAGGACAAATATTCTCTTATGACAATCACAAGGGAATCAGTTCAACTAATATAGTATCTATAATATTGAAGATGATGATACTTCGAGGTCTAACTAAAGCTTGTGAAGAGCAAACTCGAAAAAACCAAGCCGGTTGCAGACCTGGACGTTGATGTATAGACTAAATATTCATCCTTCGGAAGATTCTGGGATATAGACATACTTTTCAACGTCAAAGTATAGTTGTGCTCCTTGACCAAAAGGCGGCGTTCGACTCTGTTGATCGAGAGATTTCGTAACAGTGTGTCTTCGAAAGGCCTACCAGAGAACATTATTCTTGTAGAACACTGGTGGAGTCAGAGTTTATGGTGAACTGTCATTGGTTATTTCAAGTGGTGTTCGTCAAAGTTGTTCGTTCTCTTCACTTTTATTTAACTTTGTCATAGACATGTGTTTAGAGATGACACTCGTCTGACTTTTCAGTTGATTTTCTACCAGGAGATTCACTTATTGACTAAAGATACACAAGTAATATAGTTCTGTTTGGTGAAAACGCTGACAAAATGTAGCTTACTGACCACCTTAAGCAACAGTGCAAGCATGTTTGTAATGGGGTCCTCTCCCTCCGAATTTATGATATTACCTCAGGATTGGCTTGAGTCATCGCCTAAATTGATGCTCCACTTATATTAAAAGTCTCATCAGTACTGATGCTACACTGTGACGAAATTTCGGCACAAATTCAGATGGCTCGATTAGCTTTTGTCAACTTGTAGCATAAGTGAGATATTCGTCTAACAACTAAAGGGCGAGTTTACTGTGCAGCAATTTGTTGTGTCCTCCTTTATGGGTATGGGTTCATTCATTCTTTGTTTCCCCACCAAATTCTAAGTCCATAACTTTTTTTATTCCGTCAATTTATATTTACTTTTCGAGTCGTATACTCGATGCCTAATCTTTCCTAATACCTCTGATACTGTTAATACATCTACTACCCTGGGATTTGGCCTGACGACTTCATCTCCCTGTGTTAATGGGATATGGCAACTTGAACCGGTGTACATAAGCACAGGTTCTACGTTGTGCATGACTGACGATGAAGATATCATACCATCATACTAAGGATCTGTCAAGTGTAGGACAGTCAGTTTTGAAGGAAAAAAATAACAACATAGCGTCAATAAATTCTATGGTAGAAAGCATCTCGAAACATCTACAATTGAGTGACAGGATAAAGGAAAACATAACATAGCCGCAATGACGGACTAAGATACTGTTTGATGAATTAAACACGTGAAGTTTATTCCCAGCGGCTCCCGTTCTATATTTTAACATCCATAGATAACAGCAACTAAGCCTATTAATTCGAACCATAAAAAAGTGGGGAAGATACGTGAAATAAAGATCGTTTCTCTCCTTTGCGTCAGATACTCTGTCTGTTACGCAGGACACCAACACAACTCTGATCAAGAACAGGTGACTGACTTGACCAGCATGTGAATATATTTCAACAACTGATTACCATATAATTTAAGGTAGGATAATATATGTAACACATCAAATACCTGTCAGACTATCTACTAGCGTGACATCCAATCGTTATTTTGCTCGCCCATATATCAATATGTTCTCATTGGCAATTATTAATACTTCGAGTAACTATTGAATAGACTAGCTCCATTGAAACCACTGGACAGCGAAGCAGCAGACATAGACCTTCCTGTAGATAGCACTTCACCAGCGATCGAAGAAATCAGGAAGGCCATCAGATAAATCAGGGGCGGGAAAGCAGCAGGAAGTCAGACATTGGAGTAACTGAAAACATGCTTCACCTTCTATTCAAGAAGATTTGGAAAAAGTGCAGATGGACTAGAAAGAAGGACAACTCATAAAGACACCAAATAAAGGAGATCTGAGTAAATGTGGAGTCTACAGCGACATTACACTACTGTCAGTACCAGGCCAAGCTTTCAACGTAGTGCTGCTGAGCCGGATGAAAGACACAGATAACCTGGACCTTCTATCCCATACACACAAACAAATGCAAGGGAAAACAACTAGTGTAGCAGCAGCCTCTGCATCAGAAGACCTCAACATACACAAGGGGAAATGCAAGATCCCTAAATACAACACGACGAACACCAACCCAATCACACCTGATGGAGAAATTTTGCAAGAAGTTGAAACTTTCACGTATCTGGTCAGCATCATCGACGAACGTGGAGAATTGGACGCAGACGTAAAGGCGAGGATTGGCAAAGCAAGGGCCGCATTCCTACAATTGAAGAACATATGTAACTCAAAACAACTTTCAATCAATATCAAAGTAAGGATCTTCAATACCAACGTCAAGGCAGTTCTACTGTACGGAGCTGAAACTTGGAGAACTACAACTACTACCATCAAGAAGGTAAAAGTATTTATAAATGGTTGTCCACGCAAGATACTCAGCATCCATTGGCCGGATACCATCAGCAACAACATTCTGTGGGTGAGGACAAACCAGCATCCAACTGAAGAGGAAATTAGGAAAAGACTTTGGAGGTTGATACGGCATACATTGCGGAAATCACCAAACTCCATCACAAGGCAAGCACTAACTTGAAATCCTGAAGAGAAACGGAAAAGAGAAAGGTCGAAGAACACACTACGTCGGAAATCGGAAGCAGATATGAAAAGGATTGCTCAGGACAGGGTCCAATGTAGAGTACTAGTGTGTGGCCTATGCTCTCGCACGAGGAGTAACAGGCGTAAGTAAGTACCTGGTCACAATAAAAGGTAGTCCTAACCACTAAACTGACTTTGTCATTTACTGATAGCAAGTCGTAGAATGTATATGCTTTATCACTCACGTGATGAATAGTGGCTATTATTACCAACATAGGCAAGATCATAACGAGATAACGCCTAGTTTTGTTCATAGAACGAGCATCACTATTGTCTCTCTAGAAATTTGAGTTGTACTCTATTATTTGAAAGGTAAACATGTATGTCTGACAGTAATTCTGATGTCAAGCTAATTTTCATTTGACCGTGTAGATTACCATTTTATCTCTCCGATACTTGTCATTATTTTGGATATACATGATTAAAGGCTCATATTTAGAAAGTAGGTTGATCAGCCATGAGATCAGTAGGAAGATTTACGACCTCATCAAACCTTGTTTGGGAAGTCAACGGTTTTTACGTTTTGTCAATATCATGATGATAGTAATTCTATTGAAAAATACATCAAAATATGATATATACCCTATCAAATTACTTTCCATACTACTACTTAATGAAAAATGTTATTTTAAGGTAAGATAAATAATTTCAACCAAAAACTAAGAAAAATAAAGAGAATTGAATACACTTTGAATCCCGATAGACACGAGAGAATCGAAAGGCTGCAAACACGAAAATCAAATGTTTTTAAGAGAATAACAAGAATTTGTCTAAAGTCATTACATTTTTATCAAGTATTTAAACACAAGCATATTTAGATAAATGAATACAAGGAACATGGACGTCTTTCTTCGTTTACCTTTGACTTGTTAACCCGTTTAAAAATTTCTTAATTGGTTCTTAATCAGTTCCCTTATGTTGTACTCACTATCGATTCGCAGTAAATGGAAATACGCATTGATAAATATAAGTAAAACATGTTCAAATAGTGACAGCTGATTTTATACAAATTCATAAGAATTATATAGCAGAGTTATCAACAACAATTAATTTGAATATACAAAATGAATCACCTAGATTTAGTGTGTATACTGCTATGATAGGCAGTCCTTAAACGAAGGCGCGGCAGAATCCTCATGCACATCAGTTCTTGGAAAAGCAGCTTGCAGGCATACGGCATACGGACAGAAACAACTTGACGGCTACTTCGACAATACTGACACCAGTTAGGTGATGTAGCTAACAAACCACATTTTTCACATACACATGCATCATAGGCATCGCTGGAAAGCAAAAGACGTTCTAATAGTAATTGTGAAGTACCATAAGCAATAAAACAGTCTCGTTCCATTTCTCCAACTCGTAAACCTCCTTCTCTACTACGACCCTCCGTCGGCTGTCGAGTCAATGCTGTGACGGGCCCGCGTGAGCGAGCATGTACCTGAAAGTGATAGTGCAATAGTTTAAGAATAACAATACAATGTATCCAGTGAGAAAAAAGCAAATCAAGTCCATAGACACTGCGAAAATTGTACTAGGCAGATCGGCAAAACACTACTCCCAAACTTTAATATGTTCAAAGTAATGAGATAAAATATATTTGGATATATGCAACTAAGTACTAGGTATGTATTCATTCAGAAAGAGTAAAATGTTTTATATTGAAGCAGAATTATATGGGATTCGACGGTTTGATAATAGTGATAATAATTCAATTTGCGTTTCTAAATGTCACCATTATATTAACACCAACAGTAATAGCCAAGAACCTCAAACGAAGGGAACAGCAGTGACAATGCGAAAAGATACAACTATCTACATTTTTGTGATCAAGGTAAGGTGAGGTAAAACTGTAGTGTATGCTATGTCTGTCAACATAAGTAGTATGTAACACCAATCAGAAGTGGAATAACTGACAGAAGAAAGGGTAAAGTCCTCAGATTCACTAAGCTTGAGAAATGTAGACATATTACTCGAAATATTTGGAAATATTTTGCAAATTTTGTCAAATAAAACATAGCTATAGGACACTAATGATTTAAAAGTTGATTTGCATCTACTTTTATTCTGAAAAGAAGTTTTTTTAATGTTTCATTCTAGACTAATTCTCAACTAAAGACACCCTAAACATGTCTTTCATATTTGACCAAAGCACTCTAATTTTTACATAAAAAGCAGTAAGTTGGTTATCTGCACTAAGTCTTCGTTCACTAAATAACCACTTAGTATTTCGGTGGTTTTTATTTTATTAGGACTTTAACCTGTTTTCAAAAAATCTATATGACTACTCTAATTCCAAGCAGAGGAAAAATAAAGGCGAAAGGAAACTAATCATGCACCCAGCAATCTCAATCTATATCAAAGTCAAAATAAAAAATTCGACACTTACTTTATCCATAACCATATGCTTAAGTCGCTGGTAATAAACAGGACCAAAGTAAATAAACGCTTCAAGAGGGGCTCCAGTAACTCCAGAATACAAAATCTCCTTGCCAAGATAATGATACCCATGATCAATAAGTACTTGTGAAAGGACTTCAGCAGGATCCCCAGAAAACGCTGAACCGTCTCGAATTTTTCCTTCGATGGCCCCGGCTTTGCTACCCAAGACTTCTAACAATTTACCCACCTTCGAAGTAAATACAGACAATAAATTTACGAAATGGAAATAAAATAAAAATTAAAAACATGCTAAGTATGAACAGTTGCGAAATGAGTTGATAGTTACCAAACAGAATCGATCCCTCAAAGTTACAGAAAGTTATTCCACGACGGTATATTCATCAGTTTACAGATAGTGACTTCTAAGTACTAAAAATCTAGGTGACGAATTCTAACAGAATGTACAGATTATTTGCTTGACATCGATTGAACAGAATCCACTTTAATTAAAAAGCCAAATCAACATTTCACAATTTAAAGCGATCTTCGGGAACTCAAGCTACTATAAAAATGAAGCAAATATTTGCGAAATTCTGAGATTACTCTTTCAAAAACAACATAAATTACGTAATACTTCGGATGAAAAATATAGTATTTACATTTTGAGGATGCTAGATCCCCAGAATTTATTCAGTAAGCTTTTCTTTCCGTAATTTTATTTTGGAAATTTGAATTTCTCGTTTTTGCGCCAAAAGCACCCATTCTTAACTTCAGATTGTATTTCTCACATGAAAGGACATTAAATGTCATTGGTTGGTTGCTTCTCTTAATACGCTATTGTGTGACGTTGTACATATACGCTTGAGTTGTGTGCTTGTTGTTGTTCATGATTCTGGCTGCTTATGGAACATACTTTCCCTCATCTGAACCTGGAATTCTTTCTCTTGTTAGCTGGACTGGGACAAATTAGAATAGTTCAGCTGTCTTGTCGTTGCATCGCTGATCCTGCGTTCCGTTCGTCGATTTTTAGGTGATCTCGTAATTTTTTCAAACATAGTGTTACATTCACAAGCACTACTTATGGACAGATTTATTTTGTCCAACATTACATGGCTGATATAATTTTACAGCGGTAACTTTATTGGGAAATCTTCTTAAGCTCATTACCTCATCCTACGCATTTATCTACATAGAAATGTGTTTGAAGTAATCTATTCCTAATAGCCCGACGAATTTGAAAATAAATTATTGATGTTTCATGACTATGCACGTTGGTTTTCTCCAAAGAATCGATCTCAATCGCACACAAGTTTAAAAACGTTAAAGCAAGAAATTAGATCAAAACGTAGATGAAAACAAGATTAAGGATACTACTTCCATAACTATCAAAGGTGAACATTCACGATGCATGGTCCTTGTGTTTGTATGTTACACTGTGGAGTGATTAAATTTGTGCATGTATTTCGTAGCATAACAAGTGAAAAACAAATCATGCAATGTAGATGGATAGGAAGGTCTCTTTTATTGAGGTCTACAAACTTCCTGCAGAGTTTGTGTATTCTTGAACCAGTAGGTTTACTTTCTGATTTTGGATACGCAGGTAACAGTTTTGTCTGGATAAAATTCTGCCATGACACAGAACCTTTTGAACTTAATTATTTAAACACAAACATTGGTACAAGAAGGCACCAAAAAGATATGCGCCACGTAAATCATTCGATTTGTGTGAGGGCGAACTTTTTGAACACCGTAACCAAGTATGATTGAATGTGTTTCTCTCGTTTCTTCTGATGAATCTCGAGCTTGGATATCATTCTGTAATTCATATTTCTCGGATTCATTCCTTATATTTGAAAAGTATTCTTTAATGCTTAATCATTTTAATCATTATTAATACTGTAGTTATTTCGACTTTGACTGTTTATCTTGGTAATCTCATATTGTGGTGCTTATTTGGTATGGCAACTTGGGCTGACATACATTGGTGTCAAGCTCTGTTGATTATGACTGACTGAAATTCAGTTTTGTGTTGAGACGAAGTGAATTTTGCAATTTATTTGAGAGAAATTGCTAGGGTTGAAGTTATCACAAGTTCACTTAATCCCCAGCAGAAATCATTTTGGAATATGTTTAGTGATTTACAAAGGGTTCTAATCTAGTTCTGCTTTAGGGTTCGTTATAGATAAGACTATGCATTATCTTTACTGATAGCTTGAAAAATAATAGGAAATCACGATACAGTTAAGTTTATCAGGAGGAGTTGAAAACATGGGAGTGACCGAAATCTGTAAACCGTATATCCCTTGATAACAATGGTTCGAAGGAATTTTGTCAAAAGCATTTACTTACCGTCATCCTACTGGGAAATCCATGAGGATTCATTATGATGTCAGGAGTAAGGCCATTCGTTGAGAAAGGCAAATCTTCTTGACGAACAATAAGTCCAACGACTCCTTTTTGACCATGGCGGCTGGAAAACTTATCGCCAACTTCGGGTCTTCTAGTTTGACGTAACAATATCTTTACTACTGCCTGGTTTCCTTCTGATGTGGAAAACATAACTTTTTCTACATAGGACGGTTCTATCCCTTTGTAGTCTACGGGACAACGCTTAAATTCCGTCTACCAGATGAAGAAAATGAGAAATAATATGGTAGGATCAACGGGGAGAGATTTGGGTTCGATGTTGATTTTTTATTAGAAACAAATGAAATAGTAAATGCACCAACTTAAAATGAAGAAATAAACTAGAATAAATCATAAGATTTGAGTCTGAATTTAAATCTAAATACAAAAAATTAATTTCACTTAAAACCATAACCGATGGTGATTTACAATGTTCAAATTAAGTCTAGCGCAAATCAGTAATTAACATAATATCAACTTAGTCAATTCATAAACTAATTTTTGTGAGCTTTTCTCATTCTCCTTTTACAATGTAAAAAAAGTTGAGTGTTAGAAATATTTAATCATCACAAAGAATGTTACACAAGAAAAGTGGTACATATTTTGTTAATAGCTTAGTACAAGTATTGAATTATGGATACTTTTATAGTTCAACAACATCAATAATTTATTTATTGTTTTCAGTATCAAATGAGTTCTCTTGGATTGACACTATTCACTGATTTTCAGAGCATTAATATCAGATACTAACAATTGTGGATTTTTTTTATAAATATAAACAAAATCTCAATATTGCCAATCACTTTCTATTGCCAGTGGTGGGTAACTGTCTCGCACCCAATATGGTTGAACTTCTCTGGTCACGACTTCTCATTAGGATTCTGAAAATTTACTTTCGAATTAATTCACTAGTGAGTACATGATAATTATCAATATAGGGGGGTTTATGGAGATTATTGAATGTTATTAAAATCACCAGGGCTTCCTGATCCTTGATTGTCATCTAACTTGGTTCTGTTTATGATCGCAATCACATTTTGTTGATGAGACACAGCATATTCCCTGGAAAAAGCCCAAAGGGGCCCTGAAAACGCTGGGAAACATTTTATCCAATCTGCAATGAATAGAAATTCTTCACAAACATCTATAAAGTGAAGAGTCACGTATCACATTCCTGAATGGATGATTGACCCATCCTGCTACTATGTTTAGTAAGGTTTCAGAACTTTCTAGAAACTCAATGCCATCTGAAACGCTATAAATATCCTCGTACATAAACGAACCTAGGAGTAAAGCGTTCTTTCCATATTTCGCACCTTTTCTCTCGTGTCGTATAGTGTTAGCCTGGGTTATTAGAAGAGCTTATGAAATAAATTCCAGCGTTCATTCAGAAGATATGTCATATTTAACAGCCATCAAGAACACCATATACTGATGATGTCTCAGCAGATTACATATGAAATGTAAAAATACAATTATTGGACATAACCGTTCATATCGAATTTGCTCTGAATAGCGAAGCAAATATGTAATGATCATCATCTGGACACTTGGTCACAGATTTTATTTATCAAAATAAATAAGAATGAATGTATTTTGTACTGTATATTCCCTACTAAGATTTTTATAACTAGTTCAGTATTGAGAGAAAAAGCGCAAAATAAGTTATAAGACATAGAATTTACCGCGTTCTCAGGTGTATTCACATTCAAACTAAGCGATCCCGCATTATCCAATACAGCGCTTGAACTAACAACAGGCATTTCTTTATTGATAAGGATTTGACGGTCGTTAACACAAGCACCAATGTAAGCAACTCCATCAGCCTGAAGCACCTCATCTCCACGACGAAGAACGCCGGTCTCTAAGTAGAGCAAAATATAGAGAGATACAGAGTAAAGACTAGAAGGTGGATACAAAGTGTCGACAACAATGTTTTGTATCATGATCTAGATGAAATATTTACCTTTCGTTGATTAAGACAAATAACTGAATGGAACTCTTACGCCTGCAAGAGAGGAAACACCTTGAAACACTAATGGAGAAAAAAGGATACAGCTAAATAATGCCTATTTCAATATGGAAATGCAGAAAATTACCTCACGTATATAGAAATGAATGCTTAAACTATCGTAATAAAGCTTCACCGTAAGGAGTCTTCCCAACTGTTGCTGCTACCTTGACGTGGTGGTCGGGTTTGTCTATCGTGATGAACCAATCAGGCTATACTGGCTGATAACCACCATCATACTTCTAACATTACACAAGACCACTGTTCTCATAATTAATTTCCTCTTATACTGACTATCAGATCTAAACTTACTCCTTCGACTTTCTCCTCAAATGTCATCATGGCCACCGACTCTAGTGCCCAAATTACTGTCCCAGGTCTACTGAAACCTCGCTCTAAACTACACATTGGAGCCATCAAAATACGCATCCTATGTCGAGTCAGCCAGCAAGCCTCCTTGGCTAAAACCATAGAATGTCGTACTATTGATGTATTCTGTGTCGTCGAAACACGAATACAGGATCCTAGTGTGGTCATCCACTTGACCTCACCTCGCCAAAACGTAGGGCCGAGGAGATACACCCTCTCGTGAACGGACAGGTGTAGGAACAGCACTTAGTACGAGGCCAGAACAAGCACTATTAGGATGGATCCTCGTCACCTATGTGCTGTTCGACTAAACGGCTCTGTAAGAACTCAAAACGATAGGGACACACGTTGTTCCCTTTTCGTTGTTTCTGCCTACGCTCCCATTGACTGCAAACCGGATGAAGTGAAAGATGACTTTTACGGAAAGCTTTCTGAAATTCTACATAAAGCTAAACACTCAGGCATAGTACTCATAGCAGGTGACTTTAATGCCCATGTAAGCAGCTTAAACCAAATAGAAAGACATTAAGGTGGGCATTTTAGTATTTCAGCTCAGTGAACAGGAGTCCCATACCAGGACGAAACGGCCGTCCAGTGCTTCCAGGTTTTCAATGGTGGTCTAGCTTCAACTGACTCATGATTTCAACCTGTGAAAATTTCTAAAACTCTCCACAAAACCCATTCTGAGAACAGATAATAGTTATCATCTGCTGAGACTGTGCTCAGACGATGGTTTATTTTTAGCAAGCACAAATTTAAGCATAAGGAGAGACATCGTCTAACATGGTGACCCCTTGCACCAAACCAATGATGGACTCAAATAGACCATATCGCCAACAGTCATCGTTGGAGAGGCTTCATAAAAGACTGTCGCTCGTTCTGGAATACATGTTCGGACTCCGATTATGCTCTAATAGTAGTCGAACACGTCGGCAACGTCACTCATCCTGGAAGTCTGATCAACCCTAATGGTTTAGTGTCTGATGAAATCTCTGCACAGATTCAAAATGCTTGTTTGGCTTTTGACAACATACGTCATCTATGGCGAGGGCGAGATATCCGTCTATCAATTAAAGGACGAGTATACTGCGTAGCAGTTCGTTTTGTCCTACTTCACGGTTACGAAGCGTGGCCATTAAGAGTAGAAGATACATGTAATTTACTAGTATTTGATCACAGATGTTTTAGAAATATTGCCAGCATCTGCTGGGATCAACAGGTAAGTAATAGTGAGGTTAGACGCAGGGTATTAGGGAATGATGGTTATCCAGTTTATGAGGCTATGAATCTTCATTGACTGAGATGGTTAGAAGCAAATTAAAGGCGGCCAAACCAAAATGTGGCATCAGTGCTTGAAGTCACTAACTTTTGGTCTGAGTCATGTTGGTAGATGCAGACTACTTGGTTGGGGTCCGCATGACTGTCATAACCAAGGGTTGGATACTCTGAGTGGCATGACTCAGAATCGATCACAAGGGCGTAGATGTATACACTCTCTGTCTTCTCTTGAACTATGAGATTAAAATTGCTTTATACTTTTCTTTCTACAAACTAATTATTTCTTCATGTATTATATCCTTATATGCATTCTTTCTCTTTATATATTACCACCATTGAATTAACTACTTCTATGAACTCGGTGTTCATCTCGTTGTGCTAATGAGGTGTGGCAACTTGGACCGATGCATATATGTGTCTGGCTCTACGTTGTAGCTGACAATTATGTAAGAATAATAAATCATGTATAGAATATAAACCACTCAGTTATTTCAGGACATTGCTTTAAAGATGACATGAGGTAGAAAGTTAAAGAGAGAACAAAGTCACAAACAGACTGTCTTAAAAGCAGGTAAAGCACTTTAAAACAATGAAAATAAGATGATTGTTGTTTCAATTACAATACGCTAAGTTCGTCAAACTAGTACAATTGAAAATTCATTCTTACTAAATGAATGTACCAAACTTGTAATATGTCAGCACTATATGGTAACATTTTAAAAGGCAAAATACATTCATTAAAACAGGATGCATGAAGAAAAATAATCAGTGCACTACTCTCTAAAGTAGTGAACTGTATATATATATTTGTAAATAGGAAGGCCTAGTAGAACGATCAGTCAGTCAGTTATTCAGCTACAACGTAGGACCAGGCACATATGTGCATCGGTCCAGGTTACCATACTGCCTCAGCACAACAAGATGAACACCGGATTCATAGCAGTGGTTATGTCAAAGGTGGTAATATATAAGAGAAAGATTGCATATAGAGATATAGTACAAGAAGAAAGAATTGGTTCGTAGAAAGAAAGATATGAAGTGATTTTAATCTCTTAGTTTAAGGGAAGACAGGGAGTGTATACACCGACGCCATTGTGATCGACTCTGAGCCATGTCACCAAGAGTCTCCAACCATTGGTTACGAAAGTCACGCGGACCCCAACCAAGTAGTCTGCATCTACCAACATGGCTCAGACTAGAAGTTAGTGTCTTCAAGCACTGATGCCACATTTTGGTTTGGCCGCCCCTAATTTTCTTCCAACCATCTCCAATACCGGATAGCACTGCACGTCGTGGTAGTCGGTGTTCAGGCATACGTAACACGTGGCCCAACCATCTCAGTCGATGAAGATTCATCGTAGTAGAACGATAATTATAAGTGGTAAGATTGACTACTGGCTTATTTCGACACATACTTTGTATGGTAAAAAGCAGTAGTAACTGAAGTGTAAATGAAGGAACATAAGAAAATAGTGACACACAACAAACATAACGCATCAGGCAACATTTAAGAAAGTTACTGTTCACCTACCTCGCTCTATGCTAGGGCCCATTAAGCGATCGTAAACTGCATTTTCATGCATTTTGAGATGAACACCCGACCGACGATAAACACAAGCACGAGCAAAACCTCGATCAATTGAAGCTTGGTTAATAACCAATGCATCCTCAACGTCATACCCAGAATAAGACATTATTGCTACAACTGCATTTTGACCGGCAGGAAGCTGATGTGAATAAAGTACAAAATACGAGACGGTGTAGACGTGAGAACATTAAATCATATTCACTATTTAGACAAACGACCATTAAAATTAACATGATTTATAACAAGCTATAAAATTTCTAAACTGTAAAAAAAAAGGAAACAAATGCAAATCACACCCTTATCGTCAATCATGAATAATAAATCATCTTAAGATCTTTAGGGTTATAAGTGACGAATATATATATATATATATATATATATATATATATTCTCGCTATAATGTGATCAAATCATATTAATCACTAGGATATAAACTGGATTAACTACTCATAAAAAGCATAAACTGATACTGTTTACCTGCTCTCTTAGTAGTGCTCAGTGGTAAAAGTTGGATTAGTATCATACGGAAAAAAGTCTGGTTTGAATAAGATTATACACAGAAAGCATATTTTAACGTTACGTAAAAGTCAGTCAGTCAGTCATTCAGCTACAACGTAGGACCAGGCACATATGTGCATCGGTCCAGGTTACCATACTGCCTCAGCACAACAAGATGAACACCGGATTCATAGCAGTGGTTATGTCAAAGGTGGTAATATATAAGAGAAAGATTGCATATAGAGATATAGAACAAGAAGAAAAATTGGTTCGTAGAAAGGAAGGTATGAAGCGATTTTAATCTCTTAGTTTAAGGGAAGACAGGGAGTGTATACACCGACGCCATTGTGATCGACTCTGAGCCATGTCACCAAGAGTCTCCAACCATTGGTTACGAAAGTCACGCGGACCCCAACCAAGTAGTCTGCATCTACCAACATGGCTCAGACTAGAAGTTAGTGTCTTCAAGCACTGATGCCACATTTTGGTTTGGCCGCCCCTAATTTTCTTCCAACCATCTCCAATACCGGATAGCACTGCACGTCGTGGTAGTCGGTGTTCAGGCATACGTAACACGTGGCCCAACCATCTCAGTCGATGAAGATTTATAACCTCATCAACTGATTTACGTTAGGTAAAAACAAAACTGCTAATGATGTGACAAAAGCTTACCTCATCAAAGTGCATCATTTGAATAGTTTTTGACTGAACAAGGGGTTTTTGAGGGTAGACCATTTGACATTGAAGTGTATCAAAACGGATTTGCTGATTAAGTGCAACAGTGCCGATAGCTTGCTTACCCATAGCACATTGATAAGTATTTCGGGGAGACTATAATATTTGAAATGGGAATAATGAAAATATTTTATCAAATATACACCATAAAAAAGTAAAGAACACTCACTCAAGCATTCATTAAATGTTGAAATTGTAAACATAAATTACTAATTTTATATCTCTTAGAAGATTCTTTGCAATAAAACCAGTAAGAAGAGTAAACGAAAAGCTCTTTTAAGTAAAAAGTATATATATATATATATATATATATATATATATATATATATATATATATATGGAATAAAAGTTAAAGAAACAGATATATTCAATCAAGTGTATGTAAACGGAACTATCAAGGATAGTTACACCGAGAGTAACATGTTTTGTGGTATATTAGTAGAAAATAGCTATTTGCGTTGGACATGATATAATAATAATTGTAGTAATAACAGTATTAATGATACTAATAGTAGTGGACATCCTTGACAGCTGTCCACTTCCCCCATTTTTGTTTAACTTCATCATAGATCTACTGATGGAAATAACTTTCTCGTCCACTGAGTTCTCGGGAATCGATCTCCCACCAGGAGGTCCACTTATCGACTTAGAATACGCAGATGATATAGTCCTGCTTGGTGAAGGCGCTGACAAAATGCAGTCTTCTGGTAGCACTAAGCAACAATGCCAGAATGTTTAGAATGCGCTTCTCTCCCTCTAAATGCAAGTTGTTGCTTCAGGACTGGTCTGCGTTAACACCTGAACTAAGGATAGGGAGTGAAGTAGACGAAAACGTCGACAACTTCACTTATCTTGGAAGTCTGATCAGCCCTAATGGATTGGTGTCTGACGAAATCTCAGCACGGATTCGAAAAGCTCGTTTGGCTTTCGTCAACTTACGTCACCTGTGGCGAAGGCGAGATATCCGTCTATCAATAAAAGGACGAGTATACTACGCGGCAGTCCGATCTGTTTTAATTTACGGCAGCGAAACATTGCCACTAAAAGTAGAAGACACTCGTAAGCTACTAGTATTTGACCACAGATGCCTTAGAAATATTGCTGGCGTCTGCTGGGATCACCAGGTAAGTAATAGTGAGGTTAGACGCAGGGTATTAGGAAATGATGGTAAATCAGTTGATGGGGTTATGAATCTTCATCGACTGAGATGGTTGGGCCACGTGTTACGTATGCCTGAACACCGACTACCACGACGTGCAGTGCTATCCGGTATTGGAGATGGTTGGAAGAAAATTAGGGGCGGCCAAACCAAAATGTGGCATCAGTGCTTGAAGACACTAACTTCTAGTCTGAGCCATGTTGGTAGATGCAGACTACTTGGTTGGGGTCCGCGTGACTTTCGTAACCAATGGTTGGAGACTCTTGGTGACATGGCTCAGAGTCGATCACAATGGCGTCGGTGTATACACTCCCTGTCTTCCCTTAAACTAAGAGATTAAAATCACTTCATATCTTTCTTTCTACGAACCAATTCTTTCTTCTTGTACTATATCTCTATATGCAATCTTTCTCTTATATATTACCACCTTTGACATAACCACTGCTATGAATCCGGTGTTCATCTTGTTGTGCTGAGGCAGTATGGTAACCTGGACCGATGCACATATGTGCCTGGTCCTACGTTGTAGCTGAATAACTGACTGAATGGTAATAAGAATAATAATACTGTAATGTACCTGTGCTCGTGATTGTCTACCACGAGACTAGATACCCGATCGATAAGCTATACACAGACTGGAATCACGTTATACCGGATAAAGGATTCACGATCAAATAGAGAGAACCAGAATATAGGCTAAACAATATTTTATTTAACACAATTACAAGTAGTCTATACTCAATGAGTTCAGAATCGACATCAATAATCAAGAGTTCACACTAAACAGTAAGTAACCTGAGTGTCTGTCTGTATTCTCTCAGTGGTCAATCATAGCTTACTTTCACTGACCACACATCAATTAGTCATGTGCTTTTTAATTAAGACGCCGTGAAAACAATAAACACGTCAGGTTTTTAATGACTTTCAAATAATTATTTCAACACAAATCATGTTTTACGGTTTGGTAAAGAGATAACAGCTATCACCGTAGCTATAAGACCTAGGGTACCTTAAATAAAGCCAATATTATATAATTCAAGAGATTATTTATTTAAATAAAGTAAAGAACAAAGTTTACTTGATTGTGATCCGGATAAGGAATTAAACCAGCAACGACACCTAAAATTGTGGCGGGGTCGATTTCCATATGAGTATAGTGATTACCGTCGGTTAAACAGGACTCGTCCATTGCAACAAGACAATCGTTGAGTTCATTAACATCCAAATATTCAACTAACCCTTTTTTCAATAGATCATCCCAATTTAGAACATTGTGGCGTAAATCCTACAAGTAGTAATTAGTCATGTCAAAACACAATTTAAAAATACATCAAATGAATCAAGGTACCAATTTATTGGATGACCGGAGAAATTATGACCCAAATTAATCAAAGTAATAACATATTTTATTAATGCAGAGCAAGACATATTAACAGAACCAGGATGATCAAATGTTTGGGACAGTGAATGCAACTAAAGTTATGGGATTCACGTCATCAGATAATATTTAATTACCCTGTGAATAAAACAACCGAAAAATCCTTCACTACTACACATACATAATTTAGAGGAAATCATTATTATCAATAAATACATAACGTTTGTTGGTACTCAAAGTTTCAAACTGATCTGAGTGGTACATCACCAACCTTAAAGCGTTGCCGTTGTACTCGATTTCACTTACTTTGATTCAGATAACCAGATACTACCACTTGTTTTCACAATCGTAAAAACCTAATCAATAACAGACAATATATATTGGTAGAATTCGCTAGCATTAACAAAATGTAATTGTCATAACTCCTCTTTACTAGCAATTTTACGACTACATTTGGTAATTCCTGAAAAGTATGTCATAACCTGACAGCATACTTACTTAGTAATCTCTATATCGACTGAATTATGTGAAGCACACTTGGCACTCTAGTTTAAAAAATGTCGCCACAACAACTCACCTGAAGAACAGATTCCGTTACGAGTGGTCTTCCATTGCACAGAATAATATAAGGCCTGCAGAATCTGCCACCATCACTAACGACATGAACGCACTGATAAGCTTGCTTGATATAAACAGAAACAAAGCCGTGAATTCTACCCGAACGCCGAAGACCTCTAATCAAAACACATAGTTTTCCAGGGTGTTGAGTGAATCCAATCGGTTTTCCATTTACATATATTACGTACCTGAAATTTATTAGATATTAAGGAATGTGTCCGCGACTAACATAGTAAATATTTTTATGTAGAACTGTTGAAATAATGACAGTAAGAAAGAAACAATGTGGAAACTAGCTGATAAAACGACCAAGAAGTAGGTCTAACATTTAGGTCCTATATACTGGGAAGTGTTTTGAAGTACAAAACCGATTTCCTCTAATTACTTATCCCATCTAACCATGTTTACTTGCCTGTTAATTATTTGTATGTAAGCATACTAGCAGTCAACACATTTGTGGACTTGTCCTGTCTATTTTTCCGTACATTATCAGTATTTTTCCTAATTTGTTTTTTTGACAGGAAAATCGCAACTATACAAATGTAATATATCCACTAGGGAACACATCTAATCACTATAGAGCAGCAGGGTTAGTAACCTAACCAATCGATTTAGAAAGCTTATCAAGAAATCTATATCTAACATGTACACTTCAAAGAGTGAATCTATTATGCACAATCAGTGATTTCAAGTCATCTATACTCAACTGGTAATAATCTGTACATATCGTCTGCCTTCGTAGACCGTTTGTCGAGATGTCGCTCGTCACCAACCCACCGGAAGTAGTTAAGCTTCCGAAGTACATTAAGTAATCAGTAAACTCAACTACCTTAATCCCTTTATTTAGGATAGGCATTTACGGATACAACCTTACGAATACAGCCTTTACAGGACAGGAAACGGAGACAAAACATTCCTGGACTTTGAGATGGTGAAGATTCGTAGCTCAGGTGGATTATTTTGATGGAGTTTTGTTCTCTGAGCTGGATGGCTTGATCGTGAAGCTTTTAGAAGATTATTTCTCCAGAGTGCTCATCACACAGAACCTTATCATCTCTGCGTTATAAGTTCATGAGAGGAATTTCAGATAGATTTATCTGTTAAAAGTTGATAGGACGCTTCACTACCTTTACTAGTATCTCTATGACAAAATTAAATAAAAGTGTAGCGCGAGAGCGGGCCTCAAGTACAATAATTTAGGTGACCCATTCGAGCGACAATTTACCCAATTCTGATAATTGATTAGTTCACAGTAATCGTAAAATTCAACTATGCTGTTGCAAAACAGCTATAAACAGCAATACAAATTGAAGGTATGAATGAGATGGCAGGCCTGAAAAATCCACTTGGATTAGATAATTGGTTCAATAAATTTATTAGTCAGAGGAAAATGTAAATTAAAGTAATATTATTAAAAGGCGAACATCAACATACTCATTTTTAGCATATCTCATCTGGTAGAGTGGAAATGTATAATAGTTGCTAATTAGCTCAATCAAATGTGCATCGTCTACTTCGACCGTAACGTGACACATGAGAGCAACATTTTTAACAAGTCCACAAGCTTCCCCTTCAGGTGTGTCAGATGGGCAGATAAGACCCCATTGGCTTGCATGAATAGAACGTGGACCAGAGACCTATAGTAAGAAAAACGATACTCTGTATAGCAATGTAAACAATCCATTATTACGAAGAAATGGAAAACATTTATCCGTTGCACCTAGTAAAACAACACTTGAGGAGCGCATAAACTATGATACTATATGACGCGAATAGGGAGTAGAATGTATTACAATGATTCATCTTACTTTGTCTTAGTGATTTCAGAAAACATTTTTGCGTGTTTACGTTATCTCTATTTAACTTAGCTAGAGACTGCGAATATATTTTCTTTGGAAAAAAATACTGCATACAGAAAAATTCAAGGGTTATGTTTTTTACACAAGTGAATAATGGTGTTCGTAGTCTTTTTTTACAGAAACTTGACGAATAGCAGTAGATACGAGTCGTGAAGCATGCATTTTTGTAATGTTTTTCGATAGTGACTGTAGTTAAAGTGTAAAACGCACATTTCACCCTACACAGGACTTGTCAGCTCGATGTAACTGAATCCAACAGCATTCGTCGATCTGTCTACCGATTATGGTACTTACTTCTGTTTGAGACTGATCGAATTCGTTGTTAAATATGGACAATAGTAAAATACAAACCCTTACAATTAGCAGTAATAATTTTATTCTTCATCAATCACACTTTCCAAAGACTTACCTTACGAGTTTTTTCAAATTGGCTCGTCATTCGAGTCATATGTCCTAAGGCAGCAACGTAAGATAAACGGCTAACAACTTGTGTAACACCATGTCGCATCATACGGAATCGTTTTATGATCCAATTTCCAGAAGAAATTGCTCTATTTAACTGTTCGGTTATCATCCACGTTTTGATATGTCGAGATATATCAAAAGGTGTACATCGGCGTTTTGTATCAATCTTGGATACTGTTAACCAGAGATCTTCGTTAAATGTCTTGAAGACGTCTTCGAATAAAAGGGCCAGCAAGCTACCAGCTAATTCGATACGTTTGTTCCCATAAAAATCCCGATCATCTGGCTAACAATCATAAAATTGATTTATTTTGAAAATTGATATACATATTTAAAAATATGCATGGAAAAAAATTAATTAGAAGATATTATAGAAAATTGAAACAGAAACGTACAGAGTACGAGGGGATAGTTGTGTAAGTCCCAAGTAACTTGGAAGAAATTTATGTTAGGTCCCTTCTAAAACGTATACGTAAAACTTGTGGAAATGTTTACATCGGAGTCTTTAAACGTTACTACTGAATAATAGGTCGTTTAAGATAGGATATTGGTATGCTTCATTTGTTAGGAAAATAAAAAACAATTCTACCTGGGATGATATCCAACGATGGACATTTAAGAAGTTAGAATCTTCGTCCTCACAAATCAAGAAGATTGAGGCCAGTAAAAGAATACATAATACACGATATTGGTAGAAATAATGTTTTAATTACGTCTTATTAAGTGACCAGCTGGAAAAAAATAAGGATGAGAATAGAAAATACTAAAAAAGGGTTGTGCAAGGTAGGACTTTCCCAATAATTTCTCAACTAACAAATTATTTTGTTGAAAGTCCCAGTTACTCAAGCCAAACCCTTAAATCTAACAATTAATGATAATTGAAATAGCAACACTAGCGAGCCTGAGTTTTAGTGAGCAAATAATTTTCTTTAAAGGTGTTGATAAATTAGGAATTGATAGGGCTAAAGTTTTGCCACCACAAATGTTCAGATAAATTTGTTGGTCAAATTCAGTCCTGGATGTCAACCTTAATAAATAATAAATATTGGAACCATTGGATGACGTGTGTGGCTATAATAACATATTAGCTTAATAAGTGACTCGTCGGTGCTTGAAGTGATAGATTTTCAGATTAAATCTTAGTGTGAACATTAACACTAGGATGAATTCACATCAACCCGGTGAGTTTCAATTAGGACTAAATGAGCCTTGGATTTCATTGTTGATCATTATCTAAAACAATCGAATTTCAGATGTTACGTATAAGACTATTTCGGTATTTCATGACATTTATTTTTAAAAATACTCTATTGCTACATATCCCAGGAAAGTTGGCGATACATTAACCCTAACCTTGAATCTCGGTTTTGGCGATGAGCGAAAATTTCTCAGTGATACCATAAAGTGTAAAAATAATCCAATCTTAATTGGTTAAATAATGAAACGTAATCAAAAGTTTTTGGTCTGGAAGAGGTACATTGAACATTGATCCCCAAAATGTCGAATTTCTCCTCAAACAATTACTTCAATGGAAGCTATTAAGAAGGTTTCAACTACTTCCAGGACATGGAGTTACTACTGGAATTTCTAGTATCAGCTATACAAAATACTGACTTCAAAGATTGGCTCATGATAATCACATCAGTCAGTAGGACAATGACTTGAAATACACTTACACCGACTAAAAACAGGATGGTTTTTAGTTTAGTGTTCATATGTCATTAAATGAGCAAAGAAACGTTTATCCTTCTATCACTTAACTAAGTATTTGTAAAAACCTTTTGTTGCGATCATCATTAGTCGAACCATTTATCCCATCAAATAAACTTATTTGCGTTTACTATTCATTCTGGTTTAGTTTTATAAAATTAATTTACCTACTGCAAATAATCAAACGTTTACATTTTTTCTGAACACATTTGAATTCTTTATCCTGGTTTGCTTTGTTTTCAAACAGGTATATATCTAAATGTTAAAAATTTGACTCCTATGAGAAAACGTAATCCCATATATAGGCTTGTATGCCAAACCGAATAACAGTTATTGGGCTGAGGAGAGAGATAACCTTCGACGAACTAAATCTTTGTGCGTTGGATTAAATCTTCACAAACGACTCAATGATTGAAAGTTGATCTCACGTTACTAAGATACTAAATTAGTAGCATTAAACTCCACTGAATAAGAACTTTAGACAGTCAGTGAGGAACTTTACGATTTCATTATAAACAGGGCTGTGCATAAGCATTTAGAACCTTGCACAACTGGTGAGAGTTATCAAATATAAACTTTCCACTTAACACATAAGACATTTGTAAATAAAAAAATAACAGGAAACATCTGAGGTTAAAAATACACAAATACGAATCACTGTCGTAAAACTTACTAAACAACTTGGATTTATATGTACACACATCAATTTTAACGTAAAGAAGGATAGGAACGCCCTGTTGAGATATTTTATGCTGAGAGTTCCACCTCTGTATTAAACATATGATATTGAATAAAGAGATTATTGCTATTATAGATGACTGTATTCTTTAAAAAAAGCCCTTCATCTATGCAAATATATAAGTAGGAACAAACTAGATCTTTTAATCCATAATTTTAGATATGAAATCCATACTTGCAACTAAGTGTATCTGAGACAAGTCAGTCCTAAACGCAGTCAAATAGATTGAAATACTAGATTAGGGTAAAACACCTCATGGTCAACACTTGGTTATTCCACAATTAAGATCAATTATTCCAAGCCCCGAATGCAATGGGATGGCTGAGAGTGGGGTGGGCCCGCCCTCCAACTCGAAATGCTCTCACACGGCCACGCGTAACAAGCCTTTGCCAGAGAAGTCCTACCCACTGCCTTCTCGGGGCAGGAGTTGTTGTTTATAAAACTGAGAGGACAAAAAGCGAACGTCCGGCGCTTTAACCGGATTCAAAACCAATGGTGCACATAGGCTCCAGTATCCATGAGGGAACAAATGGCGTATGAACCAATTGTTGGTCACCGGCTACAATGGGACTGCATCTCCTCACCATGCTCCACTGCATTGTGGATTAGACCTTTAGGTCAAAGGCACAAGGTGTGGCCCCCTAGGAAGACCACCTGCTTTGTCCTGGGAACCCGGGCAGTGTCACAGACCACACACAAATCAAATAAAAGGACTATATTTACTGAAAATACTATTCACGTTTCGATTAAAAGTCAAACAATTCAAATCATTTTTTTACGTCACTTATTCACTCTCTTTTATTCCCGCTCTATGTATCCTTATTTTTCGACTTATACAGTAGCTCGCTTATGGTGGAAACTCGGTTCTATCTAAACATTCTCGAGCCACTGCCTGATTGAAAATTGTATGCTACCACCAAATACGAATACTGAAGCAGTTTTTCTGAAACCACGTGCACCATTCAAACTGGCTGCCTTCAACGTTCGCACACTTATGCAGGTCGGACAACAGATAGGGCTAGATATGTCTTTGGAAAGTCTTAATATTGATGTTTGTTGTCTATCCGAGACCCCTACTCAAGACTCTGGTGAAGTACTACAAATTCGCTCTCCATCTGTCGCTTCAAAAAGCTTCTTTTACGTGCGTTTATCCGGGGACCCTGTAGCATCTTGGTCTAGTTTTTCTGGCGTTGGTGTCGCACTAAGCGCTAGAGCTGAGGCAGCACTAATCGATTGGATCCTCCTTAACAGTCAGTTATGTGCTGTTCGACTAGAAAGTTCCATTAGTCACTGCTTCCCATATTCACAGCCACATTTGGCCAAATTTTGTACAAATGTTATTTTCTACTTTATGCTACGTTGTGGTCTGTTTGATTAGTATATAAACTCAGTATGTTTGAAATATAAGGATTCATATCGCAGAGGCTCGGATTGGTGTTCTGGATTTAACTGGCTGGGCTAGGCGGAAAGGAGGACCAATCAGAACTCTAAGCTGCTCATACGGGTTTACGCGTCATTGATCCGATCGATAAGTCACCAATCGGCGGTCACAAGTTATAACAATTGGAGACGGGGATGGGATTCGAACCCACGCGGGGAAACCCCAGGTTATAACACCTGTGAAGACTGATCAACCAAATGAGGCGGAAGTCCGCAACGAACTCCAACGCTTGAAGCACTACAAATCACCGGGTCCAGATGAATTACCTCCGGCCCTTTTAAAGATGGTGATGGCTTTCTGGCTAACGAACGGACGACGTTGTTTACAAAGGTCTGGGAACTAGAGAGTGTTCCAACGTCAAGGGATGAGTTGATAGTTGTCTCTATCTTTAAAAAGGGTTCACGTCGTTCCTGTAACAACTATCGGGGTATAAGTCTACTTCCGATTGCGCCCAAACTCTTAGCTTCTGTCATACTTCGTAGGTTGTTCAAAACCCGAGAATTATTGACTCGCGAGGAGTAGGCTGGTTTCCGTTCTTGTTGAGGATGTATTGATCACATCTTCACCCTCCACCAAATGTTAGAACACCGTCATACTTATCAAAGGCCAACAATCGTAGTGTTTCTTGATATCAGGGCTGCCTTCGATTCGTTGGACAGGACTGTTCTCTGGGATTGTCTAGTGAAGAAGGGTGTGCCTGAGAAGTTTGTTAACATCTTAAAGGCCCCATATACAAACACCCCAGGCAGAGTGAGGGCATACAACCACCTCTCTCCATTGTCCCATTCAAGCAGTGGGGTTAGGCAGGGTTGCCCAATCTCAACATTCCTCATCAACTTTGCCATCGACGACATTCTGGAAACAGCTCTGATGGATGTAAGCAATGGCGGTGTGGATCTGTTGCCTGGAGAAAGACTTCTCGACCTTGAGCACGCGGATGATATTGTCTTACTGTGCGAAAATGCCCAAGCCATGCAATCCGCACTTAATCAGTTGGCAATCAGTGTCCGTAGGTATGGTATGTGCTTTGCACCTTCGAACTGCAAAGTACTTCTACAAGACTGGCAGGATTCTAATCCTGTACTCACCCTGGATGGTGAGCAGATAGAAGTAGTTGACAAGTTCGTGTATCTAGGTAACTGCATAAGTGCTGGTGGTGGCCTGACTGATGAGATCAATGCACATATAGTGAAAGCCAGAGCGGTTTATGCCAATCTGGGCCATTTTTGGCGTCTTCGTGATGTCAGTCTAGCTGTAAAAGGTCGGATCTACAACGCGTCGGTGAGAGCAGTTTTGCTCTATGCTAGTGAAACCTGGCCTCTCCGATTTGGGGATGTTAGACGACTCTCTGTGTTTGATCATCGCTGTCTCCGAAGGATTGCTGACATCCAGTGTCAACACCATGTTAGTAATGCAGGGGTTCGTCGTCGTGTGTTCGGGTGCAGAGACGATAATTCAATTGGTGTCACCATTTTGAAACACCGACTTTGGTGTCTTGGAAATGTTCTACGAATGTCGTCCCAGAGAATTCCACGTCGTGCATTATTTGCCGACTCTGGGACTGGTTGGAAAAAGCAGAAAGGTGGTCAGTGTATGACATGGTGTCGTGGTATGAAAGAAAGCTGCGAAGGGCTGGCTCCTGTTGGTTCTTCACGACTCCCTGATTGGGGTCCTAGAGATGGTGCAACACAGTGGCTAGAGACGTTATCAGATATGGCTCAGAATATAAGCCAGTGGCGATCCTGCTGTAACCTTCTTTTACTTTCTTTATAGAAAATGGTTGTTCCTTCCTTAACTGAAAGATTTCTTTTGATCGTACCTTTCCGTTTCCCCCATCACTATTATTATTATTACACTACCTTACACTAATCTCTGGTTGTTAATGTTCTTTTTTTCTTATACGCACCTTACCTTCTTTTTCTCTTCCCATTCTCATTGTTTTGTATGGCGCATATATATCTGGTGCCCCCTTGTACCAATATTTTTGTGTTCAAATAAATAAATAAATAATTCCAAACTGATGGTTTTTGTTAGAATTTGGAATGAAATCTAATTAAAACAGGACATGAATTAGGTAACATCAAAAATAATAGCTCCTATTGAAAAAACTATGGATTATTTGTATCTTTTATGAAAAATAACGAAACTACGAACATTAGTTAACGAAGCTTTATTTACACTGCTTATCATCGGCGTACCTTACGTTTATGTACCCAGCAAATTGACACTTAAGTTTTAACAGAAGGGGTTTGTGGAGATTTTTTTTAGAAATTTTCACAGATTGAAATCATGAGTCAGTTGAAGCTAGACCACCATTGAAAACCTGGAAGCACTGGACGGCCGTTTCGTCCTAGTATGGGACTCCTCAGCACTTAAGTTTTAAAACTTACACGTCTAGAGGAGAATATAATTTACTGGCCAGCTTAAAATGCAACACGAAGTGCATGGAAATGGATTCATGATTATATGAGTTAATATAAGTTATATGTATTCTTAATTATTTTTACATTAACTGAATTCAGCTTCACTATTTTATCACACCTGTTTCAACATGTTTTACCATCGAAAAAAAGATTTACAATTTTTCTATTCATGAGATAAAGTAACTGATTTGATGAACTGCATATAACTCAAGTGATATGATGAAAAGTGACTTACAGGAATACGTTTTTCGTTGGCTAGTATTAAATAACGAACCATCTGACCCAAGAAGAATGCACGCGGCGCAAAGTTAAGTTTTTCCATTTCAATATGTGTAATAATTATATCTCGTAAAAATCTCTGTATTTCTAAGATAATATCTGTCTCTAAAATATTAGCAGCAGTTCGTAGCGTCCTACTAGCTCCGAAAGCAGTGCGATATCGAGGTTGTCTTAAACGTGAATGTAACCAATTGCAAGCATCTAAGCAGGTATGGATCTGAAAAAAAGAAAATCCAAAGTTGAGTGATTTTAACAACTTTGAGTACACTTTAAAGATGAAACCATTTACAAATAACTTTCGTTATCATTTCACATCAATGGATCCTACTATTTCACTTCGGAGTGAAATGATGACTGCAGTCAAGTGTCAACTGAATTCGTGAAAAATAGAACCAAGCACGGCAGCAATTATTCAATTGTAAAAGCCAGTTTCAGTATCTTTTTTAACATGGAGGAGTTATCAACGTTGGGAACCATCGGATTAACACGGTTACAATAATGGTTTAGAACAATCAACATCCAAATTGATTTTTTTGTTATATTTCCCGAAAATTGATCACATAATTACAGAGTTTTACAAACCATTTGATACTAATTTCTTTAGTTTTAACCTATCGATTTTACTGCGTACAAAAATTGCTTCGTTAGTAGTGTTTAAAAGTAAAAAAACCATAATAGTCAGACAATAGTAACGTAGAACCTGGTACGTATGAACATCAGTCAAGTTGCCATACCCCATTAATGCAAGCTGTTGGAATCGTTAGGTCAAATCCCAGAATAGTAAAGTAGTAACAATATAAGTAGAGATAGAAAAGACTATGCATCGATGATACGGTTCAACAAAATATAAATTAGTGAAGTAAAAACATTAAAAAAGTTATGAGGAATTGGGGGAAGACAAAGAATGGATGCATCTGCGCCATTGTGTATAAAAGAAGGGAAACTGATATATATCTGAAGAAAGAAATTCATTGGCTCCTCAGTAACTGTTTTTTTTTATTTTGTCTGTGAATGGATCATAATTGTTAAGTAAGAATAAGTTTTCTGTCGATAGCTGTTCATTTCAGGGAGTTCAAATCAATAATTTGAATTACGTGAGTACATGTTACAAAACGACTTCAACTTCAAACAACACAACCGATCAGATAGTCATAAACCGACATTCACAGCTTCAGTTATTGAAAGTCTTCATAATACAAATTTGATAAGGTCGAACGAATAACCATAACTGTAAAATAAAGATACTCCCGTGAAATGATATTATGTTTACGATAGTTGTCAATGAAGAAAACTCGTTTACTGCATTCTTCTATTACTTAGAGACTGAATACAATTTATGAAAACTTTACCTAGAGTTATTACCTTTATTCAACCCATCAAAAAAAGTATTTGAAGCATCTGCAAATGAACATGGTAAGGGATTGAACCAAAGACGAAAATGAATTGAACTCGTTCCTCATTTAACTATACTTGCACTATTTATTGTGACTGCAATGTACAAATGTGTGGCATCGCGGGTTAAATAAATGTACCTTGTTCTCAGGAGAATATTTGCTTACATGCCCACAATTTCGCACTAGACAAAACTTAAGTATCTTACTAAAGTTAGAATACAAAGACATTAGCACCTACGTAAATGTAGAACGGTAAACAATCTCAAGGTAGGTAATTAGTGAGAAAACATGTATCACAACTCCTACATTTACATATAAAAATAAAGTAAAGGAGACAATACGATAACTACCAATAATTATTTAGTGATCGGCAGAAATTAATAACCACATTTATTTATCAAATCGGTACTTGATACATTTCAAATGTATTGAAACCTGCTAAAAATTAGTGAAATAATTTCTATCAAACCTTCTTCATTCTTAAGACAATTTTCTTAGTGCTGTGTACATTCTGCTGCGTCAATTCTTTCAACCCATAAACTGTTATTATGTCTCTTTTTTTCATACGCATCACTAATTAATTCCCTATTGCTCCGTTTTTATATTACTTCTGATCAAACCGTACAAACATCGCAATTTTCTATTTGTATTGCTGTAGGTCAGATATTCGAGTTTTTAGCCACGACTGAAAAAATAGAATTAATCTTCTTTCAGAGTTCGTCTTCTGATTAAACACTGGGTTGGAAGGAGCTCCAGGACTAACAGGAGTTCAGATTTTGACCATTGTTCATTATTCACTAATCGAACTAGCTAATACAACACAATAACGACCTGTTCATACAGGCCCCAATATAACTCAAGAACATTTTTCTTTTCAAGGTACTTTATTTATTTCAACACCTAAATATTGGTACAAGAGGGCACCAAATATATATGCGCCACACAATATTTGTGTGTGTGGGGAGGCTGTGATACTGCCCGGGTGCCCAGAACAAAGCAGGTGGTCTTCCTAGGGGGCCACACCTTGTGCCTTTGACCTAAAGGTCTAATCCACAATGCAGTGGAGCATGGTGAGGAGATGCAGTCCCATTGTAGCCGGTGACCAACAATTGGTTCATACGCCATTTGTTCCCTCATGGATACTGGAGCCTATGTGCACCATTGGTTTTGAATCCGGTTAAAGCGCCGGACGTTCGCTTTTTGTCCTCTCAGTTTTATAAACAACAACTCCTGCCCCGAGAAGGCAGTGGGTAGGACTTCTCTGGCAAAGGCTTGTTACGCGTGGCCGTGTGAGAGCATTTCGAGTTGGAGGGCGGGCCCACCCCACTCTCAACCATACCAGGGCATTTGGGGGCCTTTTGAAGGTACAACAAACAGTGACAGATGTGGCGTCATTAACTTAACGGATGCATAAGGAAAAAAAGTTGTATCATCTTTTCAACTTCAAATCAATTAGTCCCAGGACTTAAAATGTATCAGCGAAAAATCCTTTTTCTTTTGGGACAAATAAAAGCATTGTCTCATCAGAAGTTCACGGAAATTCGGCCGAAATTCTTCTAGAAAAATTACAGACAGATAAGCTGAATCAGTCTGGTTTTCTATTTTACACATAAATAATTGATACAATCATTAATATCACTAATGCGTTTTTTGAAAAGATGAGAAATGAATGTAAGACGGAAGAACATATAAGTCACTTATTAAATGGGCCGTCAGTAAGCAGTGATAAAGAAGATGCAGTAGTTGTATTTTATTCTTCCCAGTGATTCAATGCGGCAGATTTCAAAACCAAACTCCAGTTATAACTACATTGAAGACAGAAAATATAACTGGCAAGCTGAAAAAGTCCGCAACAGAATGAGGTCTCATCAGATGTTCATAAAGTTCCAGTTGGAACAATCCTGTAACA